TAAGAGGCGCCTGGGCTCACCATCCTAAAGACACGGAAAAGGTGTTGTGAATGCAATTAATGTAAAAAAATAATAGTTGATTTGCATGATTGGGTCGATATTGTACATCGCTCCTCCTTATTTTATTTTTACCCTACGAGCCAGGACACCGAGTTGATGGAGGACCCAAATGCCCAATCACCCTATGAATTTTACCAAAACTTGACTACTATCTGTCATGGGCGCCGGCAAACATTTTTCCTAGGGAGGAGGGGCGAAAATGGGCAAAATATAACTTTTTGCGAAAGTGTACCTGTCCCCGAAACTGTTTGAAGAGCGAGGATAATTAATTAGCAAATGAACTATTTGCAAACTTAAATAACATAATAGCCATGCCGCTCAATGTTCGAGAACCCTCAAATAATAATTTGCGAACTCATAGATACAGTGGCGGATTTCAGAATCAGTGTAGAAGGGCACAGTGGTGACCAGACATGTAAATTTAACTCCAAAAGCTGGCTCCAAAATCCTACACACGCACCCGATAAATATTCGATAATTTGCTCCGGCAGTGCGATAGGCGACCCCAGCGCTAAAGAAATAAGGCTGCCAGGCACGGTACACACCCCTCGCTGCAATGTAGACATTTTTTTCATGACAAGTCAACTAGTGCGATAATTGGTTTTTCAGGGTTCAAATTACGTATTTAGATTATAATGAACAATCAAAAATCACTGACGGAGATTGCCTGGGTTATTACGTAAAAAGCCTATATAATAGGGAGTTTTCGCATGCCACTTAACGTGCAGCGGTATTTTCTAGGCACGTTATTTTGACAGATACGCATGCTCAATTGTGGGTTTCATGATAGCGAGCACTAATTACGTTACCGCCTAGCGTAATTTGAGAACACTTAGCGCGAGGCGGTATATGATCGTTTCGTGGATACCCTAAACCAATCGAGCGATGATCTTTATGATTTGAGGTTAGGTGCCGTTAATGTGTGATTTTTCTTAATTTGAAAAAAAATCGGTTGGCCTGTGGTTTTCATTTTTATTCATAAAGTTTGTACTATGTGTACTGCGAAAGAATACTGTGCAAAATCCCAGTCTCCAACTATTCGTTGTTCACTGCCCCTATAGCGGCCAAATCAAGAAGTTCTTGTACATCCATTTTATCAAAGACACCTTTACAGGGAAAGTATTGAGGTTGTAGCGTTGTAGGGTACAGCTTTAAGGTCACAAATTTAAGGTTATGTCCACGTTATTTCTCATGCTGTTGCGAAAAGTATCCACAACCGATTAACATAACGTATACGTAATGTGCTTTACCGGATAGCGTTTGAGCCTACGTCGCTTCTCTAAGCGTTATGCGAAAACTCCCTAATGTCAAAAAAAAAAACGAAAGAATGTCAACTTGCTGACTAGATAGTTCCTAGTTTGCAAATAATTCATTCATTCCAAAAGCGTCATCTGTGGAGGAAGTTCCCCGCATTCGTTGCTAATTGCAGAATGCCGAAATAGTCTGAAAAGTATATCTCTGGGAAGGTCTAACAGAAAGAAGATTGGTTGAGTAGCAGAGTAGCAAGATCGCATTTGGATGATTGTGTGGTGTGTGGTGATTGTGTGTATTGGTCTGCATGTGTATAAAATCAGTGATAGTTGGTACGTGAGAAAATTATTACTGAATATGCTGCCCATTAAGTATACCTATTAGCTGTACCAGACGTGTTATTTATGTTGTTCTTTCTGAAGAGAGGTTATGTTCAAAGAAAATAAATTACGATTTTCCCCGATGTTTTATGTATTCAAAAACTTTTAGAAGCTTTACAGGAAATCACCACCTCTTCCGCGTTGTGTGTAATCAAGTCACATCACAGAAAAGTTCGGAATGACACATCACACACAACATTTCACAGTGGATGTGCAACTAATTTCTAGCTATGCATTCATCTCAAATACGTGTATTTCAGACAATACATCACTAGTGGAATTATGATCAACACAGATCTCCACTATGCATCTATGCACTGACGTTTCCTTCCAGCTATAGTATATAACTTACAATTTAGACCTATAATAATGCCATCTTTGAAACAGCACATCACATCAGAGCCAAACATGGATAGCTGAAACATCATGACCTTTACGCAACATGTACAGATGCAGATCAAGTGCACATCAAGTGTACAACAGCTAGTTCTAAGTTGACATAGAAGAAAAATCTGTGCACCCCAGCTCGAAAGAAATAAAGCTGTCATGTAATTTACGGTGCACACGCCCCTCCCTGCAATCATCTTAGGATTCATGTTTAGGAAGTTGTTCGCATCGGGTGGAGGAGATGGCGTCTGTACGGTTAGGCACTAACGAGCCCTTCTGATAGCGAACGTAAATAAGGTCGTTACATCTCTGATACTACTAGTGTCATCTAACAGATGCCCCAGTATTGCGAGGCGCAGGATTTTTGCAGGGGTATCAAACTCGATCATGCTGTACGGAACCCCTATACATAAAACAAGGCCTTTAGGAAAAAGAAATATAGACAGCTAATATTGAGAAGCCAGCGAAAGGTAGTGCTGCGCATGGTATGCGCTTACAGAACGGTGCCAACTGATGCAATGTTGGTGGTGGCTGGAATCACGCCAATTGATTTGCTAGCTGCGGAGAGATGTGCGCTCTATAAAAAGTGCGTCGAAGCTGCAAGCGACGAAAAAGAGGTGCTTTTTGTCAGATGGCAGGAGAGATGGGATGTAACTGGCTATGGCTGACTATGGTGCATGGACTAGAAGGCTGGTCCCAGATATTGAAAGTTGGAACAACAAGCAGGGAGCGGCGCGGATTACCATACCGCACAGTTCCTCACAGGACATGGTTGTCTTGACAGCTACCTGGAGAGGATGGGAAAGAGAGACTACTTATATTGTGATGGACAGGAGGATACTCCTAATCACCTACTCCAATGTGGTAGGTGGATTGATTACCAGACAAAGCTCGAACTGACGCTCGGCGGGAGGCTCACTGCTGACAATTTTGCCACGCATATACGCGCGAGGCAAAGTGGGTTAATATTCAACCAATAGTGAGGCGAATGATGCTAAGTAAGATACGGGAGAATAAAAGAGTTCAAGGAACCAATAGTAGGTTTCTATTTTGTTCGGTTGTAATAGATATAGATACAGAATAGATTACTAATACCTTACATAACTCAACGCTACCCAGAAATGCTGCAAGCATTACCGTGGAGGTGTGCGTGGCGAACGACTGAGGGGTTTTGGTGAGTATGCTATTTCTGGAGAATCACACTGCAGGAAGGGCCAACTGGACAATACTGCCTGAAAGTGACTATAAAAACTTTCCCCAGTCAAAGAAAAAGGTAATTTTACTGAAAAAATGACAGGCTTGGTCATCTAAAGGGTGTGAGCCCACCACTCAATCCGCCAATGGACAGATGAATGCATGACTAGTCGCCTCAAAACTAATGTAGTTATTAATCCAATATCAAGACTCTTTGACCACAGCGGCAACATCGCAATTCCATTCTCTGGCCTTGCTCACCTTGCTCCTCTATCGGTCAGGTGATAAACTAAATTACTAAGCAGATAGAGAAGAGAGTGGGAATGGCGGCATAACCTACTTTTTTTGAATTGCTTTTGTCGTTTTTTGAGAATCATGATGATATCGCTGCGAACAACGACGGCTATGACAAAAGGTATCTACTACAAGGCAAGCTTGACCAAAAAGAGGTGACATTAATTTAACTTTCAGCATTTTTTTAACAAAATGATACTAGATAAAGAGGTTATATTATGGAAAATTTGCAAAAGCTTCAAAGTAACGTTCAGTTTCAAGACCAGGAAGCACCTTAAAATACATAGTGTGTGGTAATCAGTTACTGATATATCAATCTGCTCATCATACATATGATTCATAGCATTCATGTTCAAGAGGTTTGTGTCAGGGAGGGAAGAGGGTTTATCCAGGATTAAATATTTAAGAGCTGGGGGTGGAATAGCGGCATGCTTCACCACTTCCCTTATGAGAGTAAATACCCTTGATATGTTTGAATAGTGGAAGTGGGATATGTGCTGGAGGGCACGTCTCAGGATTCAGGTCTAGCAAGAAAATTTTTACACCAAGACATAGCAATATATAGGGGAAAGTCGCCTAAATCGTACCATTTTTCGGAAAAATGTATAGTAAGCTAACATTTTCAATATTAAGGGGCTCCTTTTATTTTAAATATTTAACTAAAGGATTTTTACATATTTCTACTTTCTTTTGTTATGGCTACTTATCTAATTTAAGAGAAAAATACATTTTTTATAAACATTACAAATGGTACGACTTGGGAAACCAGATGCCAAAATCGTACCACTAGGTTTCCTAAATCGTACTGATCTGATATATCGTACCACTTCAGTATGGTAGCATAACAGTAGTATTTAAACAAGAATACAAATTTTAATATGCTCGTGTGTAGATGGGTATTACAAAACAAAAACGAAACAGGACAAACAATAATAACAAGATGTGTTATTTAGGAAAAACTGTCACAAAAGTACGAAGAACTTCCTTTATAACTCGCACAAAGTTCATGGACCCAAAGCTTGCATAAGGAACACTGTATCATATTTTCTACTCGACACTCATTACATATAACACAAAGCCACTGATCCTCTACTATTTCTACCACTACGTCATTTGAACCATACGAGGCATTTTTCCTTTTTACTTTTTTTCCGGTTGGCCATTGGCTATTCCTATTTTTCTTTTCTTCGATAGTAGATTGCTTTGCTTTTAATTCGTCCTTATGTGGGGTTGAAGTTAAAACCTTTGCTGCTTGTGCACGTTTACTTGCATTTTTCTGATTGCCAGGACTATTTGGAATTGGTAGAATGTCTTCGAAAGAAACATCGGGTGGTTGAGTTTCAGAGGTGGCGCACGATTTTGGTTTTTCAACTAAATTCGCCCAGGGCACATCATCATCACTCGAAGGTGTATCGTCAGCGTCCTTGCTTTCCGCTAGTGCTTTTTGTTTTCTCCGCCTTCAAAATCAACATCTGTGAAAACGTTTCTATCCACAGGCCATATACCACATTTTTTAAATCCACTTATGGCATTTGCGACACATGCTGCTTTTCCATATCCTTCTCCGATTAATCGGGCCCCTTGAAATTGACCGATTGTCCTCCCGGGATGTTCTCTCAACCATTTTTCAACCGATTGGTCATAATAGACCTGGAATGGCTTAAATACTGCCACATCAAGTGGTTGTAAACGGTGGGTGGTATGACCTGGCAGCTGTAAAATAATAACCCCATTCTCGCGGGCCATCTCAATGGCTGCTAAATCTCTCGACTGTGTGGTGTGTCCATCTAAAACCAAAAGCACTCTATCCTCTTTTGAAGGTGTAACTGCAGCAATGAAATGTTGTAACCAAGTAACAAACAAATCGGCGTTAGTGTAACCAGTATCCGATATTTCGACCATGATCCTGGGGGAGCTCCATCTGCCAGCTCTGGCGCCATACTTTTCCTCTTGAAAATTACCATCGGTGCCACGTATTGACCTGCAGCACTTGCGCAGCATACGAATGTAGTATTCACACCTCTTTCGCCGCTAGCTATGACACCAACCTGCGATTTTCCTTTTTTTGCCAGCACTTTCTGACATCTTTTTTGTACGGTTCGTCGACATTGTATATTTTCGGAGCAGTCAAAGCATGATCGACAACAAGTTTTTCTAAGATATTGAAAAACTCCTGAACATTGCTTCTGTTGAAACCTTTACACCGTGCGATCGAAGTTGATTCTAGTTGTCTCAAGGAAAGTTGTGGATGGCGACTCATAAAGCTATAAAACCATTTTTTTCCAGCCATCTTTGTGATTTTATTAAAATTATGTTTAAGACCATTGCGTTCAGCGAATTCAAAGGCAGCCTTTCTTATTTCTTGAATAGTCACTCCAAAAAAAATTGACTCCTAAATGTTGGCTTTGGGATATTGTATTGGCGACAAACCTCATTAAAACCTATGTTTCCCTCACGAAAAATATTTAAGGCTGCTTTCATCATCTATAAAAAAAATAAAAAAGTAAAAAAACTGTTACTACATAGCTTCCGTAATCGTACCAGTATAAATTGCCTTAATCGTACCGGTACGATTTAGGCAATCTCTAATGGTACGATCAAGGCAACTGTACACCAAATAAATAAACATAAAGTTTTTCTGGAAATAATAGAAATAAGGTTATGTTTAAAGTTATCAAAAAGTGTATAAAAGTTGTTAATCTTAAAGGCATACAATAGATTTTAGGCTTAGTCAACTAAAATATCCAAAACTACTAACGGTAGGTCAACCAAACTTTATATCACATTGCCGCACAAAATAAAACGTTATACGTCGGGAGCGACACGCGCTACTGTCAAACTTTTGCTGGTATTACTGGTTGCCAACTTTAGGGTTTCTAATTGTGGTGAAAGATGTTTTACACATATATAAGCATAATATCTGAAATATCGACAAGGTACGATTAAGGAGCCAGTACGATATAGGCGACTTTCCCCTACTATTTTCTTGAAAAAATACTTGGGCGTCTAGGGACGGCGCAGTTCTAGACCCCCTGTAAATCCACCCTTAGATTAGCTATGACAATTTTGACACCACCATGTAATATGGATAAAGCAATTCATTAGGAACAGGTAAGACTAGACATATACCCTACTAATAATTGCTAACAAACACGAAACCTCATTGTGATATATGTGTCAAAATTATAATGACATACATATATGTAATGGCAAATGCAATGCAAGACATGAGAATCAGGCCCCTGAAGGTAGAAAGAAAGCAAGGGGAAGAGCAAAGAAAATTAAGTTGAAGGTATCATTATCTGTAAGATTAATAATTTTCTGGTATGAAATTCCACACCCAATAATGATGATGTCGAATATCCTTTCTCTAGTTCTATTACATTATTACCAATGCCACTTACATATTAATTTGATAAAATTTTGTGTCAGGTATAATAAATCTAAGTTCTAGCATATAGTGCTACTCGTATTACCATAATTGACCACTGTGAGAGTGAAAACATCATGCAATATTACTAGTTTGTTCAATGGTAAGTAGACCATATCTATTATAGTACCAGATTCGGCGGCATCTAGCGGCCACAGTGGTGATCGGCACGGGTATTACGTATCTTGAAACGTGACCTTATATCGATTTTCTTTTACCATCTGTTTTTTTTTGACATTACATAATACATATGTAGGTTTTTCGACTAGATGTTAACTTAGCACTAGCTGATGGACACTTTTGTAAACTCATTTTGTAGCTGTATGTGTTGCCCAAACGTCATGAGGCTTCAGTTATCAATGTTTGGCTATGATGTGACGTAAAATCTGCTTCATAGATGGCATTACTGGAGGTAACAGCATAGTGATGATTTGTGTGCTAATAATATGTGATGATGACCTTTCTATTGGATTCTTGTCTCAAATACACATTATACTTGAGATTCAAAGCTAGAAATTGGTTGTACATCAACTTTTTCTTATCCATTCTGGAAATTACATATGCAAATTTGCTGACTTTTAAAAATGAGAGAGATAAGAAATAATTATATTGACTGTACACTGTCGAGTTACAAGTCATATACATACATGCTAACAGTAATTACACACAAGGCGGGCGCGGTGGTGATTTTCCGTAATTCTCAAAGTTTTTGAAAACAAAAAAAAAACGTAAAAAATCGTAATTCATAACTGAACATAACATGTCTTCCGAAAGGACAACATATAAATAACCGGTAGTGCACAGCTAATAGATATTATACTTCATTGGCAGCGTATTGAAAAATGATTTAATCACACAGCAAATATCACTGATTTTATACACAGACAGACCAATACACACAATCATCCAGATGTGATCGTGCTATTCCAACCAAGTAACCAACTTTCTTCTCATGGTGCGTTTCTATGCTTGCCAAGGCTTGACAAGCAACCACAAGGCACAAGCATCCACAAACCTCGCTTGGCATTTGGAAGTCGTTTACACGCTTGTGAATGCGTCAGTGTGCTACGTACATCCAAGCATGGCGGACACCGCACTTGTATCGGCTATTACGTTTGGTTTAACCTACTTTTATTTCAAATATAAGCAAAGTGAAACAAAATCAAGGAAAGCCCGACGACCACGAAGATGGTGGATGATAAAGATTCATAGAAATCGTACCAGGTAACTAATAAGTTTTTCAGTTTATTTATTTATTTTATACTTTATTGTACACTGTAGTTATTAGGATTTCCAAGGTACATGATATATAATTAACAGTGAAAAGTACAATGGGCGGCCTTATTGCTAAAAGCAATTTCTGCCAGGCAACCTTTTTACCTATGTCTATTATGTTATCCCACAATATATAATTATTATGTAGGTAGGTATATTAAAGTGCAATAAAGTATATAAATAAAAAATAAATTTACATAATAATTGCTTTAATTTGTTACAACCAATTTATAGAAGATAAATTTAATGAACTTCTATATGAACCATCTGGAGAGTTCGATAATTTCTGCCGAATGAGTTATGCTGATTTTGAGTTTTTGCTGCAGAAAATTTTACCAATGATTTCCAAGCATGATACCGACTTCAGAGAAGCTATACCAGCTAAATTTCGTCTTGCCATAACGCTACGATTTTTAGCATCTGGTGATTCTTACAAAAGCCTACACTACTTGTCTAAAGTATCTGTTCCTATGATATCAAAAATCATTCGTGAAGTTTGCCAAGCTCTTAATGAAGTTTTAAAGGATCAAGTTAAGGTAAGTGGTAAAATAAAACAACTGTTATTATTTATTTATTCAGATTTTAATAAGAAATCTGTTGCATGTAATTAGTTGACTGGTATTTACTTATCATTTAATTATTAAGTAGCTTCAAATAAGAACTATCCCGATGACTGAAAATCTTCGAAAGTTTTCAGTAAAGCCTCGTTTATAATGTGGCGTTCCGGCGGCGCAGGCTGGATGATTTGATCCGATATGATATTAATTGTTGCGAAAAGTTGCGAGGGTGCTTCTGAAGGAGATGGAGCAGTTGCACGTGATCGATGTTCAATTATTATGTTTGAGAAGTGCTCTGAATGAGAGGTTTGCGTGGATAGAAAAAATCTTTGAGTGTTTGGGATAGGTTCAGAATAAACGGTATTAACTGATGTTGGCCGACTCGGAATGTCTTGGATTGAGTAGATGGCGTATGTTGTGCATATGTGGTGGCCATTGATGAAGGTCTAGAATAATATTGAGGGGATGGTGTATGACGTGCGTATGACCTTTGGTTGATTCTGCTTATAAACAACCCGTCTATTTGGTACATAATAAGTTTTCGTTCATCATTTGGCAGTTCGCGTAGCTTTATAGCTAATAGCTTTGGGTATAAATCGCAATCATCGTCTTCGTGAGCTGGTCTACATTCACTTCGCCTTTGTCTTATATCATTTGTAAGTTGTTCGAATGCTGTGGCCATTTGCTTTTCAGCCGTTTCAGTAACAGGGCGACGACGTTTATTAGTAAATGTCGATGGTCGGGATGGTGTAGTGACCGTATCGGTATGGTCATCCTCTGTCTCTTCCGTTTCTTCATGTACAACATTTTGTTGTGATTGCTGCAAAAAATAACAATTATTAAAACATATTGTTACTTACAGTTCATTTCTTTTCTTTTTTTTACAGATGCCCACCACAGCAGAAGAATGGCTTAAAATAGAAAAAGGATTCAGGACCAAATTTCCACATTTCATAGGTTCATTGAATGGCAAGCATATAGTCATAGACAGCCCATCTCATAGTGGAACAGAGTATTTCAATTACAAGAAAACTTTTAGCATTGTCCTTTTGGCATTAGTGGATAGCCAACATAAATTTATATTCGCAGACATAGGGAGTCAAGGAAGAATAAGTGACGGTGGAGTTTTTAACAATTCGTTATTATGGCAAAAAATCTCTAATAACGAGATAAATTTTCCCTCGCCATGTCCACTTCCAGGATCGAATATAAATGTGCCTTACATATTTTTAGCTAACGGTGCTTTTGCATTGAGTAAACATGTAATGAAGCCCTACCCTGGAAACCATGACGTCGGTTCACCAAAACTTATCCCGCTCCCGAGTTGTAGTAGAAAATACGTTTGGAATTTTAACTTCAGTGTTCAGAATTTTTAGACGCCCTATGGACTTAGATCCACAAACTGTGTCGAAACTTACGATGACTTGTGTATTGCTACATAACTATTTGAGAACAAGTAAAAGTTCCTCAAATCGATATACTCCTCAGGGATCGTTTGACGTATATGATAGTAGTGGAAATATGGTGACCCCTGGTTCGTGGCGAAATGAAATCAATGGATATAATGCATTGCAAAATTTGCCTTATGTACCACGAAGATCTCCGCTGAATGCCAGACAAATCAGAGACGAATTTACTTCGTATTTTAGTAGAAATTGCTAAGTTCATGAAAATTAAAAATAAAATTATTATAAATAAATGTGGTTTCATTGATTTAAAATAAACGTTGCTTTTTACTTACAGTTTCGGTATTTATTCCAGCAATGCAAGTATATACTGGTAGTAAAAAAGACTCCATCTTTTCGTAAGCAAACCAAGTTGGTTTATATATGTCTTCACCACCTAAAACAAAAGATAATTTTAAAATTACTTTTAATAATACAAGTAATAAGAGCAAAGATACACCTTGCTTACTTAATTAAAATAATAAACACTGTACATACCTGCGCCAGAACGAGTAGAATCCTGTTTTCTTTTAAATGCTTTCGGAAAGTTGTTATCAATATTTCTTTTTTGGATTTTAATTCCTTTACTGGCTTCCCCATTAACTGGGCAAGACGACTCCAAGCATCTGCAACTTTCTTTTTATCTTTGTGGTTAACATCTTTGGGGTTCCAGATACACGTTTCGGTCTGGTAATATTCCAAAAACGATAAACTCTCTTCGTTCGACCAGCCACTCATTTTGAAGTCAGAACTATACTATAACTATCTAAAACTGTAATGACTCATCGATGTTCACGTGAACATCACTTAACTACCAGTAGTCGGCTGTTCATAGGCGGGGTATGAATTTTTAACATGGGTGAACTAGATTTGTCACATGCTTAATAAAGAGTGGTTTGGAACATATTGTACGTAAAAAATTTGGGAATTACCTTTATTCATCGTCGCTTCCACTTACATCTGACAGTAATAAACTGTCGCTATCGCTTTGCTCGTTGAAATTGACTATAACTGGCTCTATGATGGTGTCGATGTGGTGGTCAAGCTGCCACATTTTTGTTTCTTCCTTCACAACATGACGGATAGCATTCTGCCAAGCTTCGAGCGTTACTAGCTGTATGGAAGTCTCAAGTAAAACCTTAACGTCTGGTAATTTGAAGGTTGTGTTATGGCGCGCAATATAACCCATCACTTGAGCCCAGATGAGCTCTATTGGGTTCAGTTCACAGTGGTAGGGCGGTAACCGCAGCACAGTGACACCACATTGACGGGCCATCTCATCAGTCACGTAACTAATGTTCGCAGGTTTGTGCTGTTTAATTTTTTCATACAATTCCGCTTTCACACATGAATCGTCAAACGGGATTCCTTTTTCGCGCAACCATTGATGCATGACACTTTTTCGAGATCCCATAGTCGGTACACGTTAGGCTCGACGACTATGGTAGGAAGCATTATCCATGACGATCACAGAGTTGGGCTCAACTCGCTGAAGCACCCCTTGAAACCAGCTCTCGAAGCAGCTGGCATTCATTTCGTCATGGCAATCACCTCCTTTCTTAGAGACGAAAATCAAGTCACTCTTCTAAAAAGCCAATATCGCTACCAATATGAGTTACGTTCAATCTTTGACCTTTCCCTGACGGTCCACGAAGACCTGTTGACAAACCTTCAATGCTTGCTTGTCGGTTACTCACTACGTTTTTGTCTATCCAGGTTTTTTTAACTGTGTGACCTGCATTTACCCATGCCTCGTCCAAATAATAGATTTTTCTGCTTTGTCGCCTATATTCAATCATTTCGCGTAGGTATTTTCGACGCCAGGCGACTATTTCAGGTCTCTCTATCAATACTGACTTTCGATTACGCGTTTCGTAACTAAAATTAATTTCGTGCAGGGATTTCCTCATTACCTCGACGCTCATTTGGGGTATAATTTAATTTTCCTTGATCGCTGCATGTACAGCCTTGAGGGTTGGTATCTCATTCCTAAAGAAGAATGAATGTACGGTTCGCCTTAACGCCACTTTGCTATCGTCATCCAATTTAACGGCCTTTCGTCCCTTCAAATTAAACTTTGGATCAGTAGTAGCTCCAGTTTTCTTCTTTTCATGCACCACCCTGCGAATGGTCCACTCTGGAACGCCTGTGATACTTTCACAACGCGCGAGTGCATCTCCCTGTGACATAGTTCTGTTCAGATAATTGAACACGTTGAGCACGATTTCTTTCGCGTCCCTCTTCAGTGCTTTACGAGGCTGTCTACTTGTTCCCTGGCTTTCAGTACTTCCACTCGTGCCATTTGTACTTTCCATGGTTAAGTATAACCAAAACAGTAACCACAGAAACCACAACAATAACAATCACACAACAATTCTTATAAAAACACACAATATGCGATCGCTCAACGAAACACGTTCCAATGCGTTGCCGACGCCTATGAGTCTGCCGGTCGAGGCGCGTCTTTGATTTCATTGGTTCTACCGGCGGAGAACAATCAGCCATTATTTCCATCTCTGTCTGTGCTGTTGACCACCGCAAAGCCACAGAAACGACATATGTCGTACGCTATACGGCTGTACTGGAAGGAAGCCGGGATCGAGCTCTGATCACGCGTATGAGTCATTACAGTTTTAAATAGTTGTAGTATAGACGTGCGTTCGTCGCGAGATCACAACGGCTACTAAGCGTGCGCCAACGTGTGAACGCGTCGCAACCGCTTGCCGCAAGCCCTTTGATCTGTGTCCAAAAACCGACACTAGACCGGATCGGATACAAGCGTCCACAAGCTCACGCAAGCCAAGCCAAACACCCTCTTTACACGCTTGTGTTTGTGGATGCTTGTCAAGCCTTGGCAAGCATGGAAACGCACCTTCAGAGATGAAAGCTATAGACCACTTGGCTTCACAAAACAAATGCAACCAACAATGCGTGTACGTGTAGTTGAGCAATTCCCCCATAGATGGACGCTCACAACGATCCTAGTGAGCAAACGTGGAATGACTGTTTGCACCCTAAAAACAACCTAGTCTGCAAGGTGACATCTTATAGTTTTTTTTACGTTTTATAGGTTTTTTACATAATACCCGTGTCGGCTGACAATACGAACTGGACTACAGTTCTAACCAACGACTAAATAGACCTGCCTGTAAAGCCTGTAAAGAATTTGTTTGTCTTCTAATTTTGATTGTCTGTAGGGAGGATCAACATTTTTTGACAGTCCTGTCATTAAATTTGCATGCTCAATGTTATTTTTTAAAAGTGCTAATGTTTATAGATAATTGTAGTGTTAGACGGTTTCAAGTCATGGTTCCTCTTACATAATTTGCAAATAGCGGAACATGCCTAATAAAGGTAGTTGTTTGTATTGCTATTATTATTTTGACACAATGCTATCACTTTGGTAGTTATTGGTAGAGTCAAAAATATGCGCTAAAATTACGCAATTTTAATAATCTAATGTAAACATATAGGCTTGGATTTTTCTAACCAATTTGAATTCGTTGGCTCCAACAGATGGCACTTTGTGCTGTCTCATTTTTATAGATTGTATACTACGGATAGAGGATAGTTGCACAGCTTTCATTTGTTGTCCTACCTGAGATCAAATTAGCTGTACTGGTTGGCTGTCTGTGGCCGCACGCATCAAAGCTATATTACTAGTTTGTATAATGAATCTACTAGATAACTTAGACTTTAATTTGGATTGATTAGCATGCATAATATAAACACAATGATTTTCACGTTTTTCATCTTGCTGGTAAAATAAGCCTTCTTATAGACAAAATTCGAGTGTAAAATAAAAAACGATAATTGAATGTATTTTTTGATTATGTATTTTAGATACTTTTATAAGCATTCAATAAATTATTAAAACATTTCTATTAACATACAGTATAGATTATTTTTACAAATTACAAACCGGATAAAATGGTGTACAGCAAAAAAAAGTTACAGAAAAAATATATATATGAAATATAAATATCAACATTGAGGTTATTAGAACGCTTAAAGAAAATAGAAATTTTTGTATTTACACCAGTATTGTTTGAGTGCTTATATTATGTAAAAGGTGATCACAGAAAATATATAATATCGATAATTTTCTCTTATAAGACAATTTCACTCAGCTCTCGGAAGTCATACTATCTTAAACCATTGAGGAAAATACGGATCTGTACAATCTCGCTTTTGGGCATGTTGTGTTTTGTCTAGGCGTAAATGGACTACGAATGGGGTATAGTAATTTCTCAGGTTTTTTTTGCTACCAATATTCATAAATTTTGTAATACACAATTTTCAAAAATTGCTTAAACTAAATGAATGGTTGAAACAGCAATTACAGTTTTAAAAATCTCCATTTGTCACACAAATTGGGTAGCTTACAGGGTTGTTCATTTTTCGACAGCCGTTAGTAACAATTGGTATTGAGACTATTCCGAGAGTATCAAAGCGAGTATGTTGGAACTGAAAAGATGATATCTTCAAGTTACTTTAAGAATTATAGAAACGTCTTTGAAGTAACTGTTAAATAAGACACCCATGGAAAACATGTTGTACAAGCATTTTTAGGGAATATGGAATATGCATATTTTATTTAATTTCTGTTACGATTATTTACGTTAATACAATACCGTAATAAACACATATTTCATTGATGAAAATGTCTTTATTTTTTTAATTCAATATTTGAAACTGTCATTGCGATTTTTAAATCGACAAATTTTTCGCGCACTTTACATTGACGTCACAACTCATGGTTTATCATTTTATTCTATGTTTGGTTAATTTCCGGCCAAGTTTTGTAAGGTTCTATTTTTCACGCGCTTCGCATGGGTTGATAATCAATGACAGCAACATAGGACCGGCTGCTCATTTGCCGATATCGTGATACTACGCCAATATAGTTGCTTTTCGACAATTTAAATTTGCCGTGTATTTTTAAATTTTTTTAGTAATACACGTAATTTTATAGCTCATAAGTATAAAATAAGGTTCCAGGTAGATTTCTGTAGCAGTATAGACTGTAAATGAAAATAAATAACCAATATTTGAATCACATGCATATTCCCAACTCAGTGAACAAAGGGTTGTTTCAATGTTGTTGCCACAACTGGCTTGTACAAAAAGTATTGCCGATTAGTCTTTGTTTCAAATCTAATTACTTAAAAGCTGAAAGATAGAGAAATTTAAGTACAAAAATATACTGCAATTCACAGTTGCGAACAAAGAAAAAATTACAACATATACAAGAAAAATATTGCATCTGTGGTAACAAAAGTAAAAACTAACTAAACGTACATATTGTAAAAGACTCGAGAATACTGTTAGCACAACTTATTTTAAAAACGAACTGCATGTTTTGTACTATAACTAATATATTTTCCACAATACAACATACCTATTATCCGTCATAATATTAAGTCATACAGGGTAGCTAAAATTTAGAAGTATAAAAAACTCCAATTTGGATATGTTCAACTTGAAACCAAATGTATTGCACAAATAACGAGAAAAACATCGATATTGTCGCTAATTTAATTTTGATCCATGATAGTTTATTAAAAATTAACTTTTGCTACAACTAAATTGTTTTCTAAAACATACATCAACCAAAGATTGTAGATGCGATCTATCAAAAATCAGTCTACATTAAGATTAAATTACAATTTACAATCACCATGGAAAAACAAAATATTTGTTCACGTTAGAAATGTAATGCCCTATATCTTTACAAATATTAGAGCTACCCTGCATGACAATTCCTAGCACATCATTCATGAATACAATGTAAAAAAGCGAGTCAATATAAATAACAAATTATATACTAACAAACAGTATCTAGACATAACAGTATCTTTGGTTCCTAACCAACTACAAAAAAAATTGTGAGAACTTTTATATCAAGTCAGAGAGACACCCTAAATAGTATGTAAAAATCACATCATTCAGCCCCTTTTAATGCCATAAGCACCAAAGTTTCTTATAAAACTTCTTATATATTTTAAACCACCAAACAATGAAAAGTCTAGCCGATCAGGCACATTCACGTTTTATAATATACATATTTTCTTGGCGGAAGAATATCACCATACATATCGACAGTGAACAACTCATTTAAATTTGCAAGTGCACAGACCTTAATAAAGATAGGTGAGATTCACAGAACCTATTATCTCTAAACAACCATACCACACTTTGAAAAACTAGTGTAATATACATTTTACTTTTAATTAATCCAGGTATACCTTCAACCTTGTTCAGCTAGCAAATCTGTCATGTAATTGCCATAGTCTGAAAACCAAAAATACTCTGCATATGGTGATATTTTTTCGGATCGGTCAATGTATTTCAAATTGCAATGTCAAAAACGATATAGTTTTATTATTCCTGAAACATGCTATTTTGTCTCAGATTATATGTTTTCCATCAAGTTTTTATATGAATTTTAAACGTTTCATCGCATCGAAAATCTCACCACAACATGAAAAGTTTACCATGTCTTCAATATTACATTAAGGAAGGCTATGGTTACTATGAATGCGAATTCTGGCGAAATTTTGTTATGACGAGTTCTGAGTAATTGGTCCAAATAAAAACAAACACCTGTTTTCCAATGAGCGTGCTTACACTGAGAGCGACCAGCCACGTCAGAGTATGCACACCTTCGTCAGAACCATTTTTATTTTTTCGTATTACCTGCGTCTTTTTCGCGTACTTACTTGGTCAATTCGCTATGGACAATGACAAATAATTATTGTGTACCAGAACAGTTTACTGTGGGTATGACATGTGTGAGACAAAAATTATCAATAATAACGTAACATATTCGTCAACTTCGCCTATTTTCCAATTTCGTTAGAATTCGCATCCATAGTGACCGTAGCCTTAATCACTGTGCTAACTTAAAAACTTTATGTGAATATGTAGATGTTACAAACAGCAACAACACGTCACAAATACATGACAGGCCCAATCCCATATGCATTCTCATCCATATAAGGCATTAAGAAGAATTCAGGGTATACAGTTTACTTTATGGAAGTTTATGCCAACAAAGACTAAATTTCAAACTACTAAGTTGCATAATGTTTACCTTAATGCTAAAGTTATTTGGTGGTAAAAATTTTCTTGGATCCCAATCGACATCTATTGTTCTATATCTTATTTTAGTGTATTTGCTAGGTCGCTATTATAGCGCCCCCTCAGAGAATTGCGGATACCAGCAATGCTAAGTTTGTGAAATTACCCTGAGAAATTCTCCTTAAGGCTCGATGTACATTCTACATCTGAACGTGCCAATAAAACTGGTACGAGAAAGATCAAGGCAAGCTGAGCATGTAAGAATGACGTTAATCTCAAATAGCACAGTACCCAAATATGGTGCTCACCGTGCCCGCACCTCGACAACCCAATAAAGTGCGCTGGGAAACCGCTTCCTTTGATCATTTTGACCAAAAACAAGACATGATTAAAATATCTGAAATATGTGTTCTTTGCAAGGCTAAGTTTTTGAATCCAATCAATACTGTAAAATATCATTTGAAGTCTTAGTCTATCTCGCGATATAACACATGAATATTTGTTCAGATCAAGGTCCTATACAGTGTATTTCTTAATAAGTGTCGAATATATCACAGGAAGATTTCTTAGGTATTTTTTAAGACAAAAAGAAGCTCATATAAACATGAATCCACAAGGTTTTCTTCTTCGAGATACAAGCTTTAGAAGTTATAATCTCGAAATTAAAACAAATATTTCTTCAGAATATATTAAGCTACTGGTTTAAAACATACGGGTAATACGAATAGCATAATCAATACATACAGAAATTTTCCTGCCTGAGACTACACCAGTCGAGTAGCAGCTGGGAAGTATCACCAGTAAGGAAGAAAAAAAATGTTTTCTACGCGACTGACTTTCTTGCAACTATTGCATTTTTGAATAAGATATTATTCATTTTTACATTCATCACCTTTGTTGTCTTTCTACAAAAAGAGAGTACAAACATTGGTTTGAATGTTTGAGGTGAAACCCATATTGAAATTAACTTTGGAAAAATGCTGAAGTTTGGCATTGGAAATTGTATATAGTTTAATAGGAGAGTAATGCTATCTCACCATAGCATTACTTGACCATTATTCATATTCCTTGTTCAGTCGTATGCATAGAAATTTACAACACCTTGTATGTCGAAAGTGAGCCTTGCGGATCTATGTGTATATGACCTTTTTGACTTGAAAGAACCTCAGAAATTTTCGAGTCAAATGTTAGACTCCTATCAAGAAACTCTCTATAGGTGTTATGTAAATATGCAGTAAAAACTCAAGGAGTTATTCCTCGGCCTATTATAAGAATATTTTGTCCTATAGTGATTTCTGAAAAACCCCTTTGTTTCGAAGATACAGGGTGAACAAAATATTCGATATTTGTTGAAATCATTAATGTAAATAAAAGTATGTCGTACGCCAATGAATTCAGTAAGTACAAAAAATTGTTGACGATAGCTTGGAATCGTTGGTTCATCTACTAACGTAGTGGATTTCATTTAAATACTTCTCGTACTTTGAGTGGCGTTTTCCTGTTTGACATGCCTTTAATAGTTAGCGAAGCCCTCTGCCATACGCCGAGATGACTGATATTTCAGGTATGGACTTGCTAATGGCAATTTATTGGAAGCTAGACGATTGTAGATTGAACGGTTTCCTGGCCGAAAAATCTTCGATCATCGACATCTTCGTCAAACAGGCACGTTAAAACGAAATGGTGGGTCAGGAAGATTCACGACAGTAAGGACGGTCCAACTGGAAGATAATGTGTGCTGCACATTTTAGAGAAAGATCCAAGTACTTCTTCGCGACAAATTGCCAATACTTTGAATGTCAATGGATAGTTTGGAAAATTCTTCAGCCCATTTTTTTGTATCCATACCACATTCAACGTGTCCAAGCACTACTACCTGCTGATTATGCTACCATTGGCGATAAGAATTGCCATGTGGTCTATGCACGATGGTGCACCACCATAGTTCAGTTTGTTTGCTCGTGATTTTTTAATAGCAATATACGGAGATCTCTGGATTGATCGAGGTGGACCACACGCATGGTCTACTCAATCTCCAGACTCTGAAGTCATTAGTTTACGCTACTCCAGTGGAGAATTTGGATGAATTGCGACATCGGATAATTGCTGGGTGTAACTCAATTAGAAACAACCCTGGTGTGTTTGAAAGGGTTCGACACTCAATGAAGAAAAGATTGAATGCTTGTTTGCAGGTTGGAGGAAATCATTTCAAACATTAATTTGTTGTAGATTGAGCAACTTTACATGTACTTTTTGATCATAAAATGTTGTTACTGTCGCAAATTTTGTTCGCCCTGTATCTTCGAAACAAAGGGTTTTTTCAGAAATCATCTTGTGACAAAATATTCTTATAATAGGCAGTGGAATAATGCTTTAAATTTTTGCCGCATGTTTACCTACAAGCTGTCAAAGAATAAAAAAATACGGTTTGACAGAAAAAATGATAGCGAATTTTCTCGGAAAGTCAAAAATATGTTCATAATACCAAAACAACATTCCTTGTCACCGATCGAGTTTGGAGGAGTTGGATATGAAGTGATACCAAGATACAAAAAAGATGTACAATCAGCTGCTTAATCCGAAAAAAAAATATTAATTTCAAAAGTCAATGTTCAATTTTTTTTGTCAATATTGTTCGTGAGATTGCCACCGAGACGCCACTGGAATTTATAATTCTTTTAGTTAGTGCTACCGTTACGTCTTATTGCAGTGAACAATCGAAAGTACAGTATAATTGGCACAAGGATCTTTGATGAATAAAATACCGTTTTTTGAAACTTTCTGTTCTGTTTCTAGAAACCAGACTTTTTTAGGGCACATGCTTATATGAACTTTTCTACTTCAAGACGATTGCACTCTTGTAATTACGGCCCGTCATTACGTACCGCCCTGCATAGTAGGTCGCATCGGCCGCACCACACAGCACCTCAATTCCTCCGTATCATACAGTCAGTTCAAGTCCAGATTATTCAGTCTCGCTCATGTTAAAGACAACCTTTTTCCTTCTACATTTAGCTGTCACGATCAGTTTTCCTATGCACAGATTGTGACTATGTTGACTCCAATGCAAGTAGATCCAGGTTACTTGTCTTGAGTAAGTACTCAACAAACGAAAAGTTCCCCATATTCCTAGACGTCGCTGTCAGGATCAGTCTCACTATGCGCCGCCTGTGGCTGTCCGAAGTTCCTGGTAATGCTCTCGCTCATCGACCGGATGTTCGCTAGGTGGACTTCGTTCGCTGCCGCCGGCACTTGGAAGTAGTTTATTCTGTCCAGGTCGGCAACCTGTAAAGTTCGCCGACTCTTAGTTATCGGATAATATGGAAGAGCGAGATGTCGAAGCAGAGATATTGCTTACAATACCAATTGAGGTATTGGCTTATCACCTGCGGTCGGTAAAAACTTAACAGCTTTGTTACTGTTTACCGGAGATAAAACAGTAGACATTTAATATTTTTATTTGGATCAATACAGCATTGTGTAATTTAAGGATGGATTTAACAAATTTACCACATTGAGACATTGAGTTATATGAGAGTGGCGAGCGGCGTTAGCGGTACTCACACAACCCTATTATCATCCTGATATTATGTTAAGGGCAAAAACAATAATTGCGGACAATGACATTAGGATAAAGGGATAGAAAATATAAACGATGGTCAAAGAGAGGAAAAAACATTACCCACAAAACAAATATTAATACCTGGAGTTGGTATCCGAATTACATCATCATTGTCTACAATGTCTACATCAATAATCAGTTGAGGCTCAATAATGCGCTGAAAAAATTGGAAGAAGCTATTGCAATTCTTTATCCTCACACAATCTGTCTAAAACTCCCTTTTATTTCATAATTCAAAGGTATCCTTGAAAAACTTCAATACTTTTATTTTTTTACCAACGTCAGCTACATGGTACTGACATCGTTATGTCTGTAGAAGTTTTCACAGCTTCATAGAATAGAAAGGATTTATTTAGCTTTAAGCTACTTCAAACAATAATAAATATTATTTACAAAAATATGTTAAACTTAGAAAGATGTCACATCAAACCAAAATGGCCTCTCCGAAGTCTCTTTTGGAAAATCTTAGCATTACTAGATGTTTTTACATTTTTACATTAACGCCCGCTGTACTCAAGCGAGTACACTCGTGTTTGTTCCTATTAGAGCCATCTCTGAGTCAACCACAGAAGTACTGCCTCTTATAAACATTTGTAGATGGTACATGCGACAGGATGCAAGAGCCATTTTTCATAAATTCTGTGAGTGTGTCGTTGTTTACAGTAATAGAAGTTATTGCTTATTTGATCTAAGGTAAGTTCGGATTTTACATAATTTTTTCTTATTGAGATGACCATCTAATAAACATAATCTTTTTATATTATGTATATGTAAAGGTTGTTTGTTTGATTTGCTGGGCATAAATTATTTTAACTGATGTGATGTAATTAGAATGTATGTTCAAGTTTGAGTTCAAATGAGTACACTGGGCAAATTCGTTATCAGTAGAGTAATGCTATTTTTTTTGTTTTAGATATGTATAAACCATTTTTTGATGATCCTGTTAAAACATACGAGTATTACAATTTTCTGCCTGATGCTCGAGATGATTTAAAAGATAACGATGATGTTTTGGTCTTGCCTCCAGACGCGCGTTATTTGACTGACGAGGAGGAATTGGATGAAAAGCAACTGATGGCAAATGGAATGACACAAGATGTTTCTGGTCGTTTATAGCTGTTTCGCCAAAGTTCAGCTAATGACGAGTTCTGAAGCAGCGACGAAGAGCATTTGAGTCAAGTGCGAAAACGTATACAAATACCTAAATAAATCTAAACACGATGACTTGGACTGGGAGAAATGCAATCCTGAATATTCCATTTGGTCTGAGCCGCCACCGTTATGTGAAATGAATGCCAATAGGGCTAAACTAGTGGAAGAGATAAAGGATTTAAATCCAGTACTACTATTTGAACTTTTCTTTGATGATACGGTTTTACGGCATATTATCGATCAGTCCATGTTATATGCATCTCAAAATACTCGACACCAAAGAAGAAATGAAATCCTTCATAAATTCGGACATTTTCCTGCAAAGCTAGAGAAGCAATTATGACGTACAGTTCAAGGGTTCGTCAACACTACGTATTGAACGTGCCTGCTTCAAGTTACATCATACAAAATAAACGGTTTCGCCCATTGTACTCAAATGAGTACCGATATTTTTTTGGTAAAAATAATAAAATATATATGGTTTTATGATCTTCAGCTTTATTTTAGTCCTAATAACCTACCTTATATGCATAATATCCGTTTTCCATGATCAAGTTTAATTTGGGCGATAATGGGTTAATATACAGACTGTTGTACATTTTTAGACCTTCGACAAACATTAACTTTTCTAAATCTTTCTTTGTATATGGAAATTTTCATTTGATCTAATGTCGTAACCTTGCATTTCACATCTTCTTTTTAGAAACTGTTGGAGCCTGATTATTGATAATTTTATATAAAAGAATTAAATTTGCCTCTTGAATAATCTGCTGCATGTTTAAAAAATTCAATGCCTTTAGCATATCCTGTATAGGGGTATACCTACTACATTTTAACAGAATCCGCATACATTTATTTAATAGAATTTGTAACCTTTGCTTTTGCCCATTTGTGCATGTAATCAAAATGATGCACAATAAGTAAAAAAATATTGTATTGTAGACTACCCAAATGCAATGCACCAGGGACTTGGATTGTCACAAATTCTACGAAAATACCCCATCTTTTTGCCTAATTTCCGACATATAAAGACAACATATCTGCTGAAAAATAGTTGCTGATCTATACTAAGTGACATATAAATCCGAACACCCAGTTTAAATGGTTTTATTTTAATAAAAGTTGGTGAATGTATTTATCTTACTGTAAATAACAAGTGAAAAAATTTTCAGCCTTATCAGTTGGACATTCCGGTTTTTATACTGCTTTTTTTTAATTCACTAACGCTCTAAAAATGAATATTTCAGCCGCAGTAAAGGATCAACGTTGGCGGATTTTGGTTCTTGACATCCTTTACGATCGGTTACGATGCCTAGAGTACGGAGACCTGTACGATTTCGTCAACTTAGTGAGTGATAGGGGCCGTATAGTGGGACTTCGGGAAGCTGGACTTTCTTTTCGGGCAATTGCAGTTAGAGTGCAAAGAAGTGTAGACACTGTGGTTAGGTGTTGTCAGGCATGGCTTCGAGAAGGCCGTACGCAAAGAGCAAGGGGCACTGGACGCCGCCGTAGAACAACAGACCGTGAAGATCGCCGCCTAAGATTATTGGCCTTAAGGGACCGCTTCTCCACTACCAGGTCCATTGCAAATGAATGGTTTGCAGAACACGGAAGACCTATTGGCATGCGAAGTGTTTACCGACGAATGAGAAGTTTTGGCTTGTTTTCATACCGGCCACACTGGGTCCTCCCTTTAAGGGCACGTTTACATCGAGCGCGCTTCGCTTGGAGCTGTGCGCCTCACTTCATGTCAAGCGAACCTCTATGCGTTCGGGTTCATTCATATCGGAGGCGCTTCGCTTTTCATACCTCGACTGTTATTAAAACACACTTTATATTTAAAGACGCATTTTCCAAGCATTTCACCATGGCTCCTTCACGAGTTAAGAAGATATTACTACTCGAAAGTATTGCGTTGAAAGTGAATAGAAAAAAACTAAAACGATCGTGGGTGCATGAGATTAATATATGTAGGAAATCGTTCGGAGAATTCTATCACCTCTATCGAGATGCCAGAAAATATCCAGAAAAATTTTATGAATACTTGAGGATGTCAAAGGAATCTTTCGACCTTCTCCTAAGCCATTTGGATCCTTATTTATGTGGGATTGGAACCAATTTCCGTGAAAGGATTTCAGCAGAACAACGTTTGGTTATAACATTGAGGTAAGCCAAAATAAAATTATAGTGTTTATGAAAAACTGAGTTTTATTTTATTAAAAAATACATTTGTCCGAATAAAAATGTTACGCGTTATATCCTGAAAAAAAACTTCGCATAGGGGTGTCCAATTCACTACCTTCAGATACATTGTGTGTGGTCGGATCCGGATGTGTTGACTGTATCGGTATGTGATGATGGTATGTATGATTGTCCGAAGCGGAACTTGAGGGAGCGGGGAAGGTAAAGACACGTGCCGGAGGTTGTCCACAAACATTTTGTGAAACTTCACTTTCATGCTCCTCAACTTGCTGAAGAAGCAGTTCCTGAAACTTTAATCTTAGACGTAATCTTCTTGAAGCAGGAAGACTCTTCATGTATGGCAAAAGACTCTTTAGGAACAAAAGATCATCATCATTTTCTTTAAGTGATTCAGACTCTAGGAGCTCAAGTTTCCGTTTTTCTAACATTATTAGTTCGCTATTGTCGTTTTCTGTTGCCAGTTGCTTCTTTCGCTTCTGCGCCCCCTTCCGAGTTTCAGAAGTAGAAGATAATCGGCTTGCAGACCTTGAAGGTGCTTGACTGCTGGTCGATGGCGGTGACAAAACATTGTCAGAATCTTGCGACTCTACGTCCTGTATATCATTATATTCTAAGTCAATATCTTCTGTGACCCTTTCCGCTTCTATATTTGCATCCCTCAGTGGGGTTTGCAGATGGTCTTTTAAAAATAACAAAAGAGAATAATATTGCCAAGGACTTGCTACAGCTTCATTTGCTCCACTGCCTGATCTGGGTTTTTCTAACTTTTTTGTTTCTCTGTTAAAGTAGTCCCTCAAGTATTTCCATTTATTTTTAACAGTTTGAACTGAAACAAAAATTGCTATTAACACCAAGCATATTTTATGTATGTTTGTTGCAGATTTCTTGCTACTGGAGAATCCTATCGATCCCTAGCTCTACACTTCAGATTGGGGGTGGCAACAGTTTCAAATATTGTAAATCATACATGCATGGTAATATGGGATACCATGAAAAGTGATTACCTACCAAAACCTACACAAGCAACGTGGCACAATAAATCACAACAATATTGGACCAAATGGAATTTTCCAAATTGCATAGGCAGTATTGACGGCAAACATATTGAAGTTAAATGTCCCTCCAATACCGGATCTCTATACTATAATTATAAGCAATATTTTTCAATATTACTTCAAGCCCTAGTTGATGCTGACTGTAAATTAATTGCGGTTGATATTGGGAGTTTTGGACGCCAAAGCGATGGAGGAAATTTTAGGTCCTCGTCGCTTTTTCGAGCATTAGACAGAAAAGAGCTTGACGTCCCACCTGATCAATGCTTACCACAAACAAATATAAAAGCCCCATTGGTTATAGTAGGCGATGAAGCTTACCCTCTGCTTCCATACCTAATGAGGCCATATCCTAGAAGAAATTTAGATAATTCAAAAAGAATTTTTAATTATCGTCTCTCCAGAGCCCGGCGATGTGCTGAATGCGCATTTGGCATAATGAGTGGCAAATGGCGAATTTTACTAAAACCTATCGAAACAAAAATTGAGACAGCTATAAATATTGTAAAGGCCATTTGTATTTTGCACAATTTTGTTATAGAACAGGAGGGATTTAAGACAAATAAGGAATGTCAGACGGGCTTTAGCGGCGATATTAATCCGAGTACCTACACACACTCCCAGTATCGCTTTTCCGAAGATGCAAAGAGAACCAGAGAAATATTAACAAATTATTTTGTGACTACTGGTGCAGTTGAGTGGCAGAATCAATTTTCTTTCGTACAATAAATGTATTATATAGTATTATCTTTGAGTTTCTATTCCCTAATTATTTTGTTCTTTAACTACTCTGCCTTAAAAATTAAAACTGCTACTACCTCATACACACGATGGTTTATACAGATGACGTATCGCAAACCACTTATACATAGAATAAAAACACGAATACGCCCCTATACATGGAAACCAAAACCGATGCAAAAATACGGACAACAAAAAGAAGACATCGACACATTCTAAAAGTTGATATATTATATCCATCCCTAGTTAAAACATAATATGAACTCACCATCTTTTCCAACTTCGTCTCCTATTTCTTTCCACATTTTTTGTAACGCGTATACATTTTTATGCAACGCATGCTTCGGATTCCATATTGCCTCTCGTTTAAAAACGGCGGTGATAATTTCTTCTTCCATTGTGTTTATGCAGATAACCCTCGGAGTTGTCTGAACAAGCGAGGCAAAACGCAACGCAAAACCAACACATCGCGTTTTCCACCGCTCCGCATAGTATAACGTAAGGCACAGCGCGTAGCGCCATGCGCGCGGTCTGAACACATTCATTTAAAGCTGTGTTGTCGTTCCTCTCGCTTCCTACTGGGCTGTAAAGCAAAGCGCACAGCTCCAAGCGAAGCGCGTTTGATGTAAACGTGCACTAACTCGAGAACACCGACGTAATCGCATAGAGTGGTGCAGACAACGGTCACTCTGGGATCAGGAATGGAACAGTATTGTCTTTAGTGACGAGTCTCGATTTTGTTTAGGCATGCACGATGGTCGTGCCAGGGTTAGAAGGCGACGTGGTGAAAGGAGGAATCCACAGTTTTTTGTTGAAAGACATGTTCATCACACTGTTGGAGTTATGGTTTGGGGTGCTATAGCTTATGGTTCCAGGTCACCTTTAATCTTCATCAGAGGTAACATGAACGCGCAGCGTTATATCCACGAAGTTCTAGAACCCCATCTTTTACCCTACCTTGACACCCTGGCAGATCCAACTTTCCAACAAGATAATGCCCGACCACATGTTGCAAGAGTCACAAAATAGACTTCTTTCAACATAATGATGTCACATTGTTACCATGGCCACCAAGATCTCCCGACTTATCCCCAATTGAGCACGTGTGGGATATGATGGGTAGGAGATTGCTCAATTTGCAACGTCCTCCTCAGACTCTAGAAGCACTTCGAGAGGAGTTGGTGGTTGCCTGAAATGAGATACCACAGGAGGACATTGACCACCTGATCAGAAGCATGCCTAGGCGCGTTGGAGAATACGTAGCACATCAGGGTGCATCAACACATTATTAAAGGTCAAAGGGCTTTAAAGCAGTGCAATCATTTTGAATTTTTTATCATTTACTTATTATGCTTCATTAAGTAACTTATACAAAATTTTATTAAAATAAAACCATTTAAACTGGGTGTTCGGATTTATATGTCACTTAGTATATTATAATACCTAAATACTTGAAACAATCTACAAAATCATGTACCTCTCCCTCAATTTTCACTGGCGCATTCAAATCTACACGTTTCTTGCAATTATTTTTCGAACCTATGATCATACATTTCGTTTTTCTCACATTTAATTCAATCTTGTTGGTTTTTAACCATAAAGTAAGTTTGCTCATTTCACTATTCAATCTACAATTTCGTTACTTACTGAACTACTAACTGAAATTAATGTATCCGCAAACAAATTTATAAAAGAATTGTTAAGGACATTTGACATATCATTGTCATATAGAATAAACAGCATGTAGTTTTGTGGTCCGTTTTACCAAGGTTCGCTTGACATGTTCCTTCTGATCTAAACAACTTGAGGTCACTATGCTAACTGATGCATAAAGCCGAGATGTCTATAGTGGAGAAACAGCAGTAGTCGATATATTGTAAGTTACTTCAATTCTTTATTTTAATTGGATAACAAACCCGACTGAAGTCAGGCAACAAAAAACTTGTTATAGACTCATTATCATGATACTGTAACTCGAGAAGATAGGCTCACTTCGTGATCGAATTGCAACATGCATTGTATTAGGACGTTTCCTTTTCAATATTTGGAACATGTGCCATATTTTCGTGATATCGTTTTATAAGATCATTTTAATATTGTCCCATTCATATTATGATGTTTCTTAAGTTACAATTTTTGAAAAATGATCAACATTCGATTTTTGAGGTTCTGGATAGTTCAAGATTTATTCAATTGACAATGCGACTGTAGCTTTTCAAACTAAAATCTGTATAGAGCTCCAAATAAAGCGACTTGTGTTTATCGAAACATATTTATTTTAAATAATACCTTTGTACATCAATTTGTTATATTATCTTATACAGAAAAAGAATAGAGAACAAGATACACTGAGAACCAAATTTGTATGATGGCTTGAGTTCAATGTGTTCGAGAGAGAAGTGAGAATAGTCACATATGTTAGAAAGAGATAGAAGCCGGCTGGATATCGAAGCTTATCACCGCGCCGCGGCAATCTGCTGCATTGCCAATATGTTACACCAACTCCTTGAATTAAGATGCCTGTCGAAAATATGCGTTAGTTTATTGTCTCTATAGAGAATTGTGTCGAATCTGTTTAGGATGGATTCCGGATCGGTCCTAACGGCGCTCCATTTTAGGTAAAAACAAAAGGTCAGGACCGCCACAAATTGGTTCGTTTGATAACACCGCATCTTGTACATTCCAATTTTGGTCAGTACCCAACTAGCGCTCATTGGGGAGTGTCGGTGGAAATCAAAGATAATTCTAAAATAAATTGAAACACTAAGCCGCATCAACATTGAAATAAATGATTCTAATCAAATGAAACCAAAATGTTAAATTAAATGTTCGAACAGATCTCCTTCTTGGGTTCGACAGTAACCTAACCTATTGTAGAAACCTGTGCGAACACTTTCTGCTGTAACATATTGGCAACGCGGCAGATTGCACCATCTTCTGCGTCATCGTTGCTAGGTAATGTGGTCACGTCCTTCTTCAGTCGGCTATCTTTTTCCAACATGTGTTGGTACACGCTTTTCTCTCGTACACATTGATTGAAATTTGGTTTTCCCTGTATATGACATCTTTATAAGATCTTTTTTTATGAGTAGGTATTGATACCTAGCGCCCATTGATAAAAATCGTTTGTATTGATAAACCATTTTATTGAATTTATTTTATAGTTTTCACCATATTCAACCTTGTTCGTCATTCGTATACTACTGCAAGAAGTTTGCGCTTTTGAAAGTTAATCAAATGAAGGAAATGTATTGCATTCCTAATCAACTTTTATTTATTTTGAGGTAATTCTAACATTTATCCGCTGTTCGCAATATTGAAAAACTGAAGAAACGCCAATTCAAAACGTCTCTGCTTTTCTTATTATTGAGGCTTGAACATCCCACCTCTTCAAGGTACACCGTACTCAAATGTTTAATTCACTTTTTCTATATTTCACACATCTAATAACAAACTAATGAACTAGTCACAAATTACAAGCTAAAACGCCATATAAAACTGAACATTTGTCACGCGTTTCTATCTCGATTATGACTCAAAGGTAAACAGTTCACTACATTGATGCGCCATCTATGAACTGAATTGCTAATATATGCAACTTCTTCGTGAACACGTGACTTAGCTTTTATACAAACCTTGGGAATAGCGCGTTCAGCTAAATTGAATAATATTCAGAGAATAGTCGTTTCTTGGAGTATGTAAATCGTTACATAATTGTAATAGAAAAACACTATGATGTGGATGATGTTTATTCCAAAGTCATATTAACAAAGAATCTTACACAAAAAGGCGCCATGATTTTTCGAAACTGTTATCAGTTGACCATTTCACTAAATATGTGCCATATGAAACCTGAGGTTTACAAATTGTTAGACCTCATTCAACGATTGTGGTTGGCAAAAATGGTTACCAGTACGTCTGTTATTATTACTTTTGAACATAATCGAAATGCTTTTAAACCTTGTCAATGCGAATTCATAATTTGCTAACCAGGTCAAATATTTTTAGTTCGTTTATTAGGAGAATGTCAACCAAACTAATTTGAACTCAGGCTTTTAGTAACCGTCCCACTGTTTAAAACGTGGTGTCACTGAATTCAGTTACTAGATACTTTGATATTGTAAACAATTCCCTGTTCCAAAGACCACTATATAAGTATACGTACGGCGTTGATGTCGTCATCCGTCCTGTAACAGTTGTCGTACTCGGAATCATAGAGAGCGCTGAGCGAGTCCAATGACATCATAGCATCCGAGTCGAAGATACGCGACGACGCCCGAGAAGACATCGACGTGTTGTCGTCCATATCGCCGTCTTGCAGATTGTGATCGTTATACGCCGAGTTGACGTCGCTCAAAGCCCCTGAAAAATCAAAGAAATCAAATTAGATGGTCATCATGTCTTACAACATCCTTCAATGTCATCACAAAGATAATTTTTTAAAAAGCAGTGTCCGGTGTCCCGTAAATCGGGTTAGTACTTAGTATTAACGCATCCAAATATGGTACAAATTGCAACCCGTAATGCTATCTGAATATTGTCATTGTAGTAACTCTAAATTTAAACCTCAAGGTTACAATACTAGATACAGCAGAAAAAATACTATACACAAAAATACCCAGTGACGGGTATTAGCTCTTGTCCAAAGTTTAGATGTTTTCAGTTCGCAATTTCTTGAATTTTTTCCACACTCACTAAAAATATCGATGTGATGAATTTGTGAAGCTTGTATCCTTAAGTTGAAGTATGTTTATTACTGTTTCCTTTTCTTAACTACCTGTACCACAACACGTTTTGCAGAGGCGTTATCCAAATTTTTGCGTTATTAAACAAAAAGATAAAAAATTAAGATTCATGAGGGCGAATATACATATTTACCTTCAGCGTCCGTTAACCCTGTCTCATTCAACATGGAGATATTCTCTAACGCCGGATCATCCGTCGTGTACCCTGTAGACTCCCTATCGTTCAGCAGCGGTTCCGAAGCACCTCCATCTTCATCTTCCGACCATTCGCTCGCACTCCCACCCTCACCACCTGTACAGCAGGTACCACCTAGGTGGTCTGCGCCGAGGTTCTCCAGGTTCTTCAGTTTCTCCTGAATCTTCTCTTCCAGTAGCCGTTTCACTTCCGCCTCCTGTATACACAAACATTAGATGTAAATCTTAAGTGGTTTTCAAACGCTGCCATTTAAATGTGGCATTAGTTTTTCTATCTGATGAGTTCAGTAGCGGCGTTAGACGTCAGCAACACCGACGGTTTTGCATTTGATGGGGTCTCGCTAAAAGGTTTTACAAGTTGCTAAAAAATTAGATATTCGGATTTTGTCACGTACGTTCAAGTACTATTTATCTAACAAAGAAGTGCCAACTGGCAACACTGTTCACACGTTCAATATAATGTTTTCTTTCTAACTGGGAAAGCGAATGGACATCTCAGAGCTGACATCACCGACGGCCTAGCATGGTCTAGTAACGCCGCTAGTGTATTTTTTAGAATCTACTACGTGAAAATAAAATCCATTTACCAGTTCCATATCCAATGGCTGCATGTGAAAGTACACCAAATTATTTAAACATACGAATAGGGGACATGGATACTGTCGTAATTCTAAGGTGCACATGGAATGTGTGCCAATGGGTTTTAATGACAATTCACGAACAAATGATGGCTCTAAAGTCGGGGTTTTTAATGGAGTATTGTACCTTATTCCAAAACACAATACTACTTCCATTAATTAATTCAGTAAAGCAGTTGATAGTATTTTACCTGAGCAGCTTCTTCCTCCATCCTTTGCTCATCCTTTTCAAAGCTCTCAAGGTCATCCGTGTCATCAGCATGTTGGCCTACTTCGGGCATATCACAGTCATTATCTTCATCCGTAGGTCTTGAGCCTCTGTAACCATAATTTTTGATTAATGAATCAAACATTCAGCCCCTACTACATAAGTTTCAAGCTCTAGTTTTTTATTAGCATCGATTTCTTATACCTAGATTAGCACGCTTCCATGCACCGCTTAAAAAGCCTGTAAAACAATTATGATTAATTAGCAAACAGCACGAGAGACGAGCAAGCAGCAAAAAGCATTATTTTAGCAGCTATACTGCCCATATGTGTATGTACATCTAATACCCTGTAATTTTGAATGACAGATTTGACCCCTATTGGCATTTTGGTGTCAACTCTAATAGATATGTTAACTAGATGCATGCAAGTGATGTATAATGGTAACATTGTTCTAGGTGGTAGCTATGTAACAACAAGCATAATGTCTTTTGTGTTAGTGTTGCGCTATTTTGTTTCGTTATTCTACAAGTAATGCTCCAATCGAATGTATAAATTTTTTTTAAAAAATGTATTTCAAAACTGTTCCAGAACAATAATGGCACCTATGATGTTTTTTCAGTCTCTGCTTAAATACTGACTTTCGTGTAACTACCGATGAGGTAACTTCGACACTCGTAACAGGTAAGTATTGTTAGATTACGATATTTGCAAAATTCGAACTAGTATTAGATTAATCTGCGAATTGCACTAGCCATGTGGATTGCCTACTTAAAGGCCAGGGGCGACTATGTCATTTGTTTGGATTGTATCAAGATGGACTATCACACTGTACTTCAATGACAGTCACTTGATTTGCTCAGCTACAAAGAAGAATTCGCAAATGTTCTTTAAAACACTATTATATGTCTGAGAACGATAATATGACCAATGGACTCGCCTATTATGAACTAACTATGCAGAGTAGTAATGTTCGCACATCGGAATCGATAGTTTATCATGTATACATGACCGTTACTGAGCAGACACGCAGGTAAATCTTTATGCTGCATCCTTGCTCCATCACATCTTGTTGAAGCAATATATTTATGTATTTGATAAGTAATAACATTTAATACACAAACCATGCCTAGCCAAATGCAAGTTGCAGAGGTTTAGTCAAAATAACAGCAAAACGGCACCATTTCTTCATATGTGGAGTTCAAAGTATGAGGGCTACCGTCACAGCAAAGTTAGTTTCTTGTGCGAATTTTGCAATATCGATTTTTACCTAACAGAGGTTTCAAAATAATACAACAATGGATTATCAAGTTTAAATCGTGATATAGGTCAAGCGAGGTAGGTAAAGGTTGACCTTCTTTCGCCTATAATATTCGTGAACATTGACAGTTTAAATTTACACCACTTTATTATATTTTTATGATGTTTGTCTTTATACATCTACAATAAATTGTGGAAAAAGAATAAAACAAGCATTAAAAGATATCGTCAAACCGTCCTTTGAATTTTAGCCACTGTGTGCGTTTTTTTGATCTTTTGAAAAAATTGTTTAGATGCTCGAAGCAACACATTATTTGATTTGTTAATACTTGAATAAATAAGCTTGCAAACCATCAGTATCGGTGAGCAGAACTCCCAAAGGAGTTTTTCGACATAAAAGATAAAGAGCCGTATACTATAACTATCTAAAACTGTAATGACTCATCGATGTTCACGTGAACATCACTTAACTACCAGTAGTCGGCTGTTCATAGGCGGGGTATGAATTTTTAACATGGGTGAACTAGATTTGTCACATGCTTAATAAAGAGTGGTTTGAAACATATTGTACGTCAAAAATTTGGGAATTACCTTTATTCATCGTCGCTTCCACTTACATCTGACAGTAATAAACTGTCGCTATCGCTTTCCTCGTTGAAATTGACTATAACTGGCTCTATGATGGTGTCGATGTGGTGGTCAAGCTGCCACATTTTTGTTTCTTCCTTCACAACATGACGGATAGCATTCTGCCAAGCTTCGGGCGTTACTAGCTGTATGGAAGTCTCAAGTAAAACCTTAACGTCTGGTAATTTGAAGGTTGTGTTATGGCGCGCAATATAACCCTTCACTTGAGCCCAGATGAGCTCTATTGGGTTCAGTTCACAGTGGTAGGGCGGTAACCGCAGCACAGTGACACCACATTGACGGGCCATCTCATCAGTCACGTAACTAATGTTCGCAGGTTTGTGCTGTTTAATTTTTTCATACAATTCCGCTTTCACACATGAATCGTCAAACGGGATTCCTTTTTCGCGCAACCATTGATGCATGACACTTTTTCGAGATCCCATAGTCGGTACACGTTCGGCTCGACGACTATGGTAGGAAGCATTATCCAAGACGATCACAGAGTTGGGCTCAACTCGCTGAAGCACCCCTTGAAACCAGCTCTCGAAGCAGCTGGCATTCATTTCGTCATGGCAATCACCTCCTTTCTTAGAGACGAAAATCAAGTCACACTCTTCTAAAAAGCCACTATCTCTACCAATATGAGTTACGATCAATCTTTGACCTTTCCCTGACGGTCCACGAAGACCTGTTGACAAACCTTCAATGCTTGCTTGTTACTCACTACGTTTTTGTCTATCCAGGTTTTTTTAACTGTGTGACCTGCATTTACCCATGTCTCGTCCAAATAATAGATTTTTCTGCTTTGTCGCCTATATTCAATCATTTCGCGTAGGTATTTTCGACGTCAGGCGACTATTTCAGGTCTCTCTATCAATACTAACTTCCGATTACGCTCTTCGTAACGAAAATTAATTTCGTGCAGGGATTTCCTCATTACCTCGACGCTCATTTGGGGTATAATTTCATTTTCCTTGATCGCTGCATGTACAGCCTTGAGGGTTGGTATCTCATTCCTAAAGAAGAATGAATGTACGGTTCGCCTTAACGCCACTTTGCTATCGTCATCCAATTTAACGGCCTTTCGTCCCTTCAAATTAAACTTTGGATCAGTAGTAGCTCCAGTTTTCTTCTTTTCATGCACCACCCTGCGAATGGTCCACTCTGGAACGCCTGTGAGACTTTCACAACGCGCGAGTGCATCTCCCTGCGACATAGTTCTGTTCAGATAATTGAACACGTTGAGCACGATTTCTTTCGCGTCCCTCTTCAGTGCTTTACGAGGCTGTCTACTTGTTCCCTGGCTTTCAGTACTTCCACTCGTGCCATTTGTACTCTCCATGGTTAAGTATAACCAAAACAGTAACCACAGAAACCACAACAATAACAATCACACAACAATTCTTATAAAAACACACAATATGCGATCGCTCAACGAAACACGTTCCAATGCGTTGCCGACGCCTATGAGTCTGCCGGTCGAGGCGCGTCTTTGATTTCATTGGTTCTACCGGCGGAGAACAATCAGCCATTATTTCCATCTCTGTCTGTGCTGTTGACCACCGCAAAGCCACAGAAACGACATATGTCGTACGCTATACGGCTGTACTGGAAGGAAGCCGGGATCGAGCTCTGATCACGTGTTGATCACGCGTATGAGTCATTACAGTTTTAAATAGTTGTAGTATAGTAATCTACGTAAATGTTTGAAAATTATATGTATCTTCATGGAATGAAAAATCTTTCTGGTCACCATAAGATGAATTATAGCAAAATATTAATTCCTGTCGCTTGAAATGGTGTATCACAGGAGCACAAAGCAAATGTGTCATCAAATGTTACATGCAACGAATGTCATCCCGAATCATCAACTAATACGCCCAATGTGTGTGAAAGCTCATTCTACAGCACAACGCCGCGCGTTGCATTACGCAGTGGTGAGTTCGTGTACCTGTCAAGAGGTGACACTTTAGGCAGTTTATGCGCCACCTCATCAGCGCGTTGCGCGCCATCTGGCGGCGAGGAAGCGCCCCTTTTCAGCGAACCCTCTTTGCTGCTTGCTCTTTGTGGCGACGGGGACAAGCTCTGGTGATGGTGGTGAGGGTGCAGGTTATTAACGTTGTTCGCTCGGAAGCCCAAAGCCAGCGCCTGGATCGCCGCGAGACCCACCTGGTGGTTGTTATTGTTTGGCACGTACCTATATGGTGGTGAGCGAAGGTAAAGTATATCGTTGTATATGGTCATATAGGCAGGGGCGGATAAAAAGGAGGCCCAAGCGGTCTGCCCCTTCCCAGAACGGCACAAAAGACTGATTGCGTTTTAGGCATATTTGTAATTTTTTGGGTGAGCTTCATAGTAATCTTCATTGGTGACGGACCAGGCTACCGTAAGGAGTAAAAATACGATGAAGACGCCTGTTCTGAAAATTATTTATTCATTCCAAAATGTGCAAAGCAGTGGGTAATTCGCGTGTGTGGCTGGTTTGGCACTGAAGGTACCGATATTCGGTCTCAAGACTTTAACGGTAAAATATGTGTCACAAATATATGGAAAAAGCGTAACTTTGCCTCTTAAGAAACAGGAAAATCAGTTTTTGGCGATTTTTATGGTGAGTAACATGTTTATTTTTAAACAACCTCAATATTCCTGGAATCGCGTCTCTTCAAAAATACTCAAAAAACACACGAAAGTATTTTTCCCACTGAAAAAATTAAATTCTGCAAGAGGAAAAACATTTTTGCAATATTTTTTAAATTCTCACTCTACAAATTAAAAAAAAAGAAACTATGTAAATTCCATAGGGAAAGCACGAAAAGCGAAATGCTGATTTTCAGGGACAAGATGACATTCCTTTCAATGATTTTTCTCATGAAAATAAAGCTAAGCTATGTTCAACCTTTGAAACGTTGGCAAAATACTATTTTCATTTTATTTTTTATATTTCTGGACCATTTACGCTTTTGAAAATCTCATAACTATGAAAGTGGAACATTCCCTCAGAGTAGATTTGGAAGTTGTTGACAGACTTTGCCTCACTACAGGCTCCTGCAAAGCAATTACGGGCAATCGATTCCACAGTTTGTAGTTAACAGCTGTATGTTTGATAGTTTCAGGCCAAGATTCTGAAACTTGGCAATTTAGCACAAAGTTCATCTAAAGGACCAAAAGTAAAATAAACACATTATTACCAAAATGGATCCCGTTGATTTAATTAAATGTCAATACAAATTGCAGTCTGTCCGAGCCTCACTGCACAATATTTCTGTCAGCAATGCGCAAAATGAGAATCCTGATATCGATGATAACTCTCAAGAGCTACAAACGCGAGAGCTCTACTCAAGCGTGTCGTTTCTCCAACGTACAAGGAACACTCAGTACTTGATTAATACTCTAACCCTAACTTGAGTGAGTGCTACAATGGATACGGGTCTTAAGGAATAAGATTAGCAAGTCAATGGACCGAGAAATGGGCAGGAGAATACTATGCCAGGAAGCCACGTATGTAGGCACATAAAGGATGGTGACAATTATTAATAATAAGATTCTCACTTTTATAAAAACATACGTCTTGACATTTCATGAATTCGTAACATGGGTCGATTTGGTCACATTTGCAATTCCTTTTTTTTAATCTAGATGCCAACCTATATCTAGCAATAGGTTTCCATAGCTGTCACGAAAAATATATTATGTAGATTTGATTTTGGTAACTACTAAGGGCCAAAAAGGAAACCAAGATCATCACAAATAAAAGAAGCTCGATGCCTTCCTTTACTGTAACTGGCTATTCACTATTTTTTGAATAACCATAAAAATACTTTAATGAGATCGACAGAAGGCACTACGCCGACGATGAGATGAATGCAGCAAAAGCCATTTATGATACTACAAGATGATATTTTTCGGATACTTATATATAGCCTTAGCTATCTTTCAGTCGCTTTTATTTCCATTTTACATTAAGCATGTTCAATCGTTCAATAAATCTAAAATAAGTCAACTATTCTCCGAACTCTCTAAAACCGCTTACCGGACTAGAGGTTCCAAAGCAATCTCTTTGTTCTGGTGGTTGATTTCCAGCTTGGGAGGGATATTCTGCAGAAGATTTTGTTCTTCGAGTAATTTATGAATCTCCCTCTCAAATGGACCAATAGCATTCTCCAGGTGATCCAGGTTGTTAACTTTGGAATTTGGAGAGATCTGAAGTAAAAATAGTTATTTATGTAACTAGGGCTTTTAATACCCGCAGCATCAGTTAGGGTCCATGGCACTCAGTGTTAAGAGCTCTAACGTGCAAAAGGTCATAAATTCTTATCACGCCCATGAAAATCCATAAAGTTTACACTACTTTCCGGTCGCAGATAAACGATATTATAATATGTATCCGGAGTAATCCCACATTGTATAAATCGTACATACATGATCAGTATTCTCGTTAAAAGCCTAGTGACTAGAGGTCGCATCCCTAAAAGCATCATAGATACGTTGACGTACAACCCCTAAAAAAATGACAAATGTGACAAATATGTATTGATATTTCTTATCTTGCACCTCGATTGCAAAAAGTGTTTACAAATATTACAATTAAAATAAATATTATAATTAATTTAATTAAAAAACAACCACACTCCAAAATTAATTTAAGCATAAACTTCAAATACACCCTAAAGGTAGGATGTCTATGATACGACTGCAGCACCACGACTACAGTAGCGCTTCTGTAAAAACTGGCTGGTTGTATAGAAATTAATGCGCGGCTATAGTCTTCTTAGTCGTAGCGTATTTGACCTACTACATCCGCATCAGGTTTTTGGTAGTGACGTAAATTGTATAATGAGTTTGGGCGGTTCACTATTATAAAGTCAAATGACTCGATCGACTACCTATTTAGGACTTATTAACGACGTCCGCGTCGCAACCAATCGTAGCCAAAATCAAACTATCTATTATCTGTCAATTACCGGTCATATATCAAAGGAACAGTTTGGCTGCAGATCGTAGTATGTTTGCTATTTGTAAGTACCTTATCATAAAAAGATAATGTAATGACAGCGTCATCGATTTCCTGATAATGGCAACGGTAGTGAGATTTGTAGAGTGTTCTTACCTTATCCCTATTTCCTGACGGCGACACCCTATGCTTTCTGAGGTCCTTTTTATCAGTCTGACAGTATCCGTCTTTCTTGGAACCTTTTTCGCTACCGCTAACAGTCTTATTATCCTCCTCCCCCCTTAGCAACTGCCTGATCTCGTCCGCCTCCTTGAAGCTGGGAGATCGCTTGCAGTTCGTCGCCATTTTGTTGCACTCCAGTATCGAATCGCTATCGTTACGGGTGCGGTGTTTGCTGTCCAGGCTTTTTTGCCTGAAAATCTACATAAATAGATAGAAACATGTATTAGAATTAGATAATAGGCTACTTGACTCATATCTAATTTCGTAGAATAAATGAGTATTTCTTACAGTATTTTCTTACGAAAACAAAATACGAGACGGCGAAAATACGGCCATGATGGGATGTCATCCAAATTGTAAACAAAGAAAAGGTTATCCGTATGTAATCAAGGACGTTCTCTTCTTTAAATATTTCTAAAAAACTCCTAATCAATGTTAAAAGTTAGCGTTTTCTTGTTTTATTGAAAATACAATCATGGAAGTTGGATTCGTAAAAGCAGAAAGCGGGCATTTGCCGAAAACTGACACATTGATGGTTGGTAATTTTATTGCCTTCAACCCAGATTTCTGCTTTACTGAGCTGGGGAACATCAAGACCTCTATGTAAGTACAGTGCATCTGATATAATGATAGACATAAAAAGAAAGAATAAGTAATACACTTACATAATCTTCCTTTACAGAAGTCATTCAAAACTAAGCTCATACGTACGGTTATGATGCCGTAGGTTAAGTCCAACTTAAACGAGACGACAAAATGCCCAGCTTTCTTGAGAACACATCGATGTGTTTTTACACATTCGGACGACACAAAACGATGATTACTATATTTTTAATGTAACTAGTATAAGTCATGTTTATATGTTTAAAAGTTATGCTACTGTCAGCTGCTGTTTATAAATGGTATGACAGTAGAGCACATTAATATATGGCCCAAACATGACGAAGAGCATTTTTAAATTAAAGTTTTATGGTCTTTTAGGTATGAAACAAATAAAGAATAACTTTTTTGGTCTAATAGAACATATATTAACTATTTAAGACGTACTTAAAAAAGTGTCAACTAGCTTATTATAAAAATCTGGTATTAGCAGAAGGCGAACACAGCACGTTCTCGTTTCCCGTCCTAACGCTTCGATTAGTAATTCAAATACAATGTATATCAAAATCCATTAAGAGAAGAAGACGTTAAGCTAGGGTTGCCCGTTGCTCTATCTTAATTAGAGTTTATTGACATAATTTTGATATATCTCTATAAAAAAATACCTGTTGGCAGTGGCAAAGACAATATATCGCCAACACTAAGTTAGCTACGTCGCAAAGGCATAACCTGCCCCTGAGGGGACCCATACCAACGTTTCTCGGGGGTTCCCCAATTAGGGCGAAGACATTCTTTATGGAACAAAAGCGCTTGCGCTGAAGAATATGACTACTCCTAATCAGTTACGTATTCACCAGCTATCGACTTTTACAATTAAAGCTCCAAGATGGGCAAATAACAAGTTTACGAGGTCTGTAAATTAAGAGATGATACTGGCAACGTAGCCTTAGATCTGGCAAAGCTGAAGGCGCCAAGTTTGAACCTGCTCGAATAATTTGGTTGTCCGTAGCATTTTGTGTTCTAATGAGTAACAGCAATTTCGAGCAACGGTGTGCTATCAGGTTTTGCTTCCGATTTGGACACAGTACAACTGAAACTCTTGCTATGATGATGAGATGAACTGCGAAGCTGAAGGCCTACATCTTCAAGAAACGATGAAAATATCGACAGAATCCGGGATTTAGTGCGTTCAGTTCGTCGGTTGACAATCAGAATGTTCGGGAAGGAGTTAAATATGAATCACACCTCCGTTCATCAGATCAGCATCATTATCACACAGCAATGACAATAAACAAGTTTTTAACCAGTAAACACATTAGTGTGGCCCTCAGCCCGCTTATTCGCCTGACTCGAGTCCTTGCGACTTTTTTCTCTTTCCAAAGTTGAAAAATCATCTCAAGGGAAGTCATATTGGGACTGTCAAAAACAAACGACTGAAACCGACCAGCTGAAGCCTATTGCCGTATCGGAGTTCCAGCACTGCTATGACGAGCGGAAGGACCGTCTTCCGCGCTGTGTGGCTTCAGAAGGAAGTTATTTTGAGGATGACAATATAAATTGGAATTAAATTTGAATAAAATAAATAAAAAAATCTGCCTCGTCACTTGATTTGCAGACTTCGTACACTTGTTGACTTCCCCATACCCCATGCGTAAGGAAAGAAGATATTGTGACTGCGGACATTCTAGGATTCGAACGATTTTTCTGTCTACAACCCGTAAAACCATCATTCTAACTTTTAACGAAATTGCATTGCTATGGATTTCAAGGTTCAGTATTCAACTTATCACAAAACTATTTAATCAATAGAAGTCAAATATCTAAAATTGGCAATACATAATCAAACATAAAAAACATTTCGGTAGGTATGCCACAGAGTAGCAAATTAGGTCCATTACTATTTATTTTATATATTAACGATATCCCTGATATCTTACAACACTGCATTAATATATATATATATATATATATATATATATATATATATATATATATATATATATATATATTAATGTATCATATATATATATATATATATATATATATAAAATAAAGACATTGAAACTGCAATAGAGCTGTTAAATAATGATATGAAAAACGTAATAAATTGGTTAAATGTAAATAAACTAAACACAAACAAAACAAAATATATGCTAATAGGAAAATCTTTAGATCAAAATACGATAAATCTTACAATTAATCATGAAAAAATTGTGTCAATCGAATCATTTAAATATTTGGGCATATACGTAAACAGTAGATTAAAATTTGAAGGGCACTATGAATATATTATTTCAAAAATATCCATCCAAGAAAATAAATTACTTTTATAGAATTTCGCTTAGCCTAAGCGTTTATTCTAAAAATATTGTGTACAACACTATTATTCTTGCTCATTTGTTATATTGTTATATTTGTTATAATGCTAAATAAATTTGAAACAAACAAACATATATGTGAAATACACCTAAGATGCACGTATAAATATCGAAGCTTATGAATATAATATACGCCAAAAATTGCGATACACCCTCCACCCACAACTACTACTACACCCCAATTTTTTATACACAAAAATGTTCCAGAAATGATATAATAGGAGTCCATGAAACGTCAAAAAGGGAAGTTTGGGAGATTTTAATTTTTCTCTTTTATCGTATGTAGCTCCGACGCCACTGGGCCGATTTCCAAAATTTGCATAACTTTTTGGCACATAACATTCAAAAAACGTAATATCTCATTTTCGTAATTTTTCGCTATTACAATACATCCTCGCCAGTGGCGTAGGAAGTACATGTACTTACATAATTGCCGTGTTTTCCCGGCCCGTTCGAATGACCGCCAGTTCCGTTACTACTGGTGCTTTTCATCAGCGGTTTCCCACCAGGACCTTGTCTTCCAAGGAACTCGAAGCTGGCACAGCTTTCTCCCCGACAGCTGTCTTCCCCGTCCAAAGCTGGGGGACTAGTGACTATCGAAGAGTCAGCCGTGTTACAAGATGCTGCAAGTGCGAGGACTACACTTGGTGGTAGGATGCTACGTTTCGCCTGTGCTGCGGCGGAAGTTCGCAGCGAACAGTTGGGGGGGATGTAGTCCAACGACGCGCGGGGCGAGACTTCAGGTGACGATAAAGGGTTAACCTACGATGTGAAATTGGTGATTAGATCTTGCATTAGAGATCAATTTCAAAATATACTCAATCTAAAAGGATTCCAGAGTAGGCATACTTCACTCCACAGTTAGTTCCTCATGTCTCTAGACAAAATCGCACGTATGTAGCTGAAAAACTGAAGGTTTCAATCCGATGTCCCAGTAACCTAGGTGTAAAGGACTGTGCGGTAACGTGTTGAAGGTACCGTCTAGATTCATTAGGGCAAAAGGAAAATGACGTTCCAAGATTCAACTGATTCGTATTTTGAAACTATTACCCAAAATCCCGTGAGACCGAATTATTTCGGGGTTTAACGAAATAAAACAGCAAAAAGTGCCATCTATTGCCAGAAAGTGAAAAATAGCTAGCTGACTGTTGGAACTGTATTCCAGTTCGCATAGTTAACCGGGCCACTACCGTGGCCGCAAGATGTCGCCGATTCTGGTACTCTAGTGTGCTTTCGTTTGTCCGACCACAGATCGCCAACCATGGTCAGCTGTTTTGTGCTATTTGGCATTTCTTCAGCATAGCGTGTAGACCGTAGTCACTATGCCAACTGAATCGGCGGCATCTAGCGGCTACAGTGGTGACCCGGCTAACAATGCGAACTGCTTGCTGTTTTTCAGTTTGGCAGTGGTCGATTCTGGTAAAAGATGGAACTTTGTGCTGCCTTATTTCGATAGACCTTATATTCTGAATAGATCTTTCGTTCGTTGTCCACCGAGACAAAGGTTACACCATGCTGAAGAGTTGCCAAATGGCATGAAACAGCTGGTCGTGACTGGCTGTCTGTGGTCGGACGAAGAGAAGCTATATTGCTAGTTCGGGATTAAGCTTGTTGATTCTTGACCATTTTTTCGCATATCGAAGTGAACCAAGTGCACTGCGCAAAACACTCAGAGAGACTCGCATAATTGCGACTCCTAAGTTAAACAGTTGCGATGAAGATATTGCAGCCTCTTAAGATTTGAACTGTTTATTTAGCATGACCGCATGACTGTTTGTGATATATGTTGTTTTGAAATGTACGGTTTTTTTTATTAAAGGGCGTTCCAGAAAAATTATTTTGCCTGTGCGATTTTGTACATTTCTGCAATGCGCTCATTTACCTTTGTTTCTGTGAGTGTTGCACATATTCAAGTCAACTAAACCATCTTTGGCTATCAAATCCAATGTTTACATCGATATTAAAATAACAGCAGTCAGTTCTCGCGGCCGGAAATCGCTTCAATACGCTCACGTCATTATTATACTGCGTTCGGAGCGGCACCTATTTTTTATTTCAGAATGTGTTTCTATACTAAAACTATCCAAATATGTTAGGTACTGATATGTTTGCAACTGGTACACATGCGTACCATGTCCTTTCTTCCTATTTATTTTCAAATATAGCGTAAAGCAATATTAGACAACCATATCCAAACATTCTTAATAAAACATAATACAAAACTCGAATCAAAATCTAAAAATAAAAATAATGAATAAATGAAAAAAATAAATGAATGTAAATTCTGAAAATACAAAAAAGATGTTATCGGAGTGCGGACATTCTAAAATAGCTAATAATTCTTCAGCTGTGAGTTTATTTGGATTTTTGCTAAGAAGGAACCGCCACTATATCATCCATGGATCGCGAACTTAAAAAAAAAACTATAAACCGACACTAATTTTATGTAATCTCATACCCCTACAACACGCTATTTGCGATAAATCAACCTTAAAGCAGTACTCATAAAGTAATGGTCGTCGGCGTACTGGCATACCTACGGCATACATGTGCGACAGCCGCACCACGGGTAGAACTGTGCTGGCGCACATGTGTTGCCATGCGCCCTGAAAGGGTTAAATTTCTCTTACACTAATTTATAACAACAGTGTTGAAACTAATTCATGACACATTTATAACCATGTCGAATGGACTATCGCGTTCTGCGCTGCTGTTGTTTGGTTCGCTGTCGACTACCCGACTCTCCCATTCTGCCGTCGTAACGCCTATTTACTCGTATTTCAAATCGACGAACCCAAGCCTTTCACCACTTCCCGCGGCGGTGGCGGGAAGCCCAGGTTATAATGCTCACCAAGCCAGGCAAGGACCGGAAGTTGCCCCAGAACTACCGGCCCATCAGCCTGGTTTCCTCGATGGGCAAAGTAGTCGAAAAGGCTATCGCCGTTCGACTAGAGAAGCAGGCAGAAGAACTGCAACTTCTCCCCCCAGAGCAATTCGGCTTCAGATCCTCGCACAACACGGAACTCCAAGCGCTACGACTGACAGAAAACATCACCAGCGGCTTCAATCTCCAGGAGGCAACCGGTCTCGTCCTGCTGGACGTGGAACGAGCCTTCGACCGAGTTTGGCACGATGGACTCATCGCCAAAATGGAAGCCGCCGGAATCGATGCGAACATGTGCCAACTGATCCAGAGCTATCTAACACAAAGATGGTTCACGGTGAAGATTGGTACATGCCATTCAACAAGACGACAGCTGGAAGCAGGCGTGCCCCAGGGGTCAGCCTTAGCCCCCCTGCTCTACAACATCTATACTCACGATGTGCCGAAGACAGCTGACACAATGCTGGCCCTATATGCAGACGACACTGCTATAGCCGCCAAGCATAGACGACCCGAGATCATCCGTAGGAGACTACAGGATGAACTGGACCACATTCAGGACTGGTGCGTGAAATGGAAAATCCGCATCAACGTCCAGAAGACGCAGGCAATCTTCATTCAACGAAGAAGGATTGCAAGACCTCTCGAAGCATCCATCTTCGACGAAGATATCCAGTGGAGCGACAATGTCAAATATCTGGGGATCGTATTTGACAAGTCCCTCACCTGGAAAGCGCACATAGAAGCTGTCATCGCAAAGACCAGAGCAGCCATGGCTCAACTCTATCCATTACTGGGTAGACACAGCCAGATGCCGCTAGCGACCAAGCTACGGCTGATCAAGGCCATCGCCAGACCTCAGCTCGCTTACGCCTCCGCGGTCTGGGGGTACGCTGCCCCCAGCTACCGCAAGCGACTTGCTGCTCTAGAGATGAAGCTACTCCGGATCGCCACCAGTGCACCATCCTACGTAAGAAACTCAACCTTGCGTAGAGACCTGCACTGCGACACCATCCACGAGTACATGAGGAAAAAAGCGGAGAAGACCTTCGAGAAAGCTCAGGACCACCCGAACGAGCAGCTACGATTTCTCATGGACTACGATCCGGACGCGAGGCCTCGCAACCGCAGAACCAGGTACCCCAGACCAAGGTCCCAGTTGGCACCCGCTAACTGGAACCTTGACTAGGAGACTAGGAGGACCCGCGGTTGCTCCCCCCCCCCACGGCGTGGATGCAGAGGACCAGGAACCACCGGGACCAGGACCCACCGGGACCAGGACCAACCAGGACCAGGACCCGCCACGACCAGGACCCACCAGGACCAGGACCCTTCAGGACCAGGACCAGGAACAACATATTGGTAAGAGGACTTGAAACTCTTGATTTTTCGAAAACAAGAGTTTCAAGAGAACCAGCAGACCCTCTATCGATGATCGCTTAACGACATCGATAGAATGTGCGAGGTAAAGGGAACCAACCCGGCGTTCCCAGAGACTGAAACACATGAGGAGACGTTGTAGCAGACCGCAGGTCACGCACAACACATGGCCTACCGAGACGCTGATGAGTCAGGCCACGCGGAGGTTTAGGGTTTAGTGGGTATTAGGTGATCTCCTCAAGACCCTGGAGTCCCACACACGCCGTAGCTCGGGCTAGGGTATGGTGCGTAAATGCATTCCCCCCTCACCAAAAAAAAAAAAAAAAAAGCCTTTCAGACAAAACGCGAACCATCGTCGAAGCTTGCCACCTAGCGTGCGATGGGCGTCGAATGCTCTCGAATGCTAACGCGCTCCATATGCGATCACGTAATTCTGGTTGCCTAACCGTCGACGTTATAAGGTTGCCTCATCGGTACCACAAAGTTCTAACACTTCCAAGTAAAATTGTAGCGGGTGTTAATATTTTTGAATAGCGTTATCACATCAACAATGTTTTATTCCTATCGGTTAAAAATACAAACTATGATTTTAAGAGCATCGAAAGATAAAAGGTAGTGAAAGGTTGCGAATGGAGCTGCGACGCGGCTGCGAATTAGAAGCATAGGACCAACGACGAGTAAGACCATCTATGGAGCGAACTATGTGCCTCCAGCATCCTTTCAGACTGATTGCACGACTATATCTATTGTTAGGAAATTGCTGTTACCTGTATGTCAGAGGGGAATAAAAACTGTTGCGTGTCAGTAGGTAATGGTGGCGATACGCAAGGTGAAGCGTCTGCATCCGTCGTTCTGCTGTAACTCTCGTCCGAACTGCTTATGCTTGGCGAGTGATTCAGAGAACTGATCTCGTCGGCAGATGAGTGGATACGCTGAGGCATACCGGACGTATAAACACCGCCTATACTCTCGTCTGAGTAGTGACGTTGTAGCGGACTGTGCCTTAAAAATATACAGCAGTGTGAGTATATCAGCGTTTTATAACCAGTTATCATAAAAGGGCTAAGGTTTCCTAGTGATAGATTTTTAGTTCCGTCTGTGAAAGGGCTGACAAAATATTAATTAAGGTCGAAGTGTAATGTTCTTGAAAAATTTCGAATTTCAGATGAGTTTTTTTACTAGAATTGGCTCTACAAGAGTCAACAGCACCTATCGGTTAGAACCGTCAAGTTCTCAGCTCATGATTGACAGCCAGGTCACCACTGTGAACGCTGCGACTGATGCTGTGGATTCTGGCAGTGTATCAGATGTCGCTAAACATCCTATTTGACACGTCTTACGTTAAGATTTCAGGTGTGATCCATGATTTATTACTATTGACCGAGTACCTGAAATGAAGTATTTTTCTATCTTTAAACGTTTATCATACACGCCGCACTACTTCGTTTAAAATACCTTGTCACCAAGAAAAGTGGAAAGATGTCTAAAAATGTGCCATTATCGAATCATGCAAGAATAATTTCGCCAGTCTTCAGACATTATAAATAATGGTATCAATCGTTATCGCAATGACAAATTCCTATCAAATTTTAAGGGATCGTCCTTTAAACGAGCAAACGCCTTGGTAATTTCAAAAATGCATTAAAGACAACATTACGAATTTGCTATCTGGTTGACAATTGCATGCATTTCACAGCTTCTGTCGTTTACCTTTTCACCTGTAGATCTAGTTACCTGTTATGATGGGGACTGTGTCTGGCGTGCAACGGACTGTGCCTGTTCTGCGCGAGTGGATTATGCCGGGTCTGAATTTTGTGACGAAGGAACTCAGGGGTACGTTCTGGTGGTGGTGCTGCTGCCGGATGTTGTGCTGTTTGCTGCTGTAGCTGATGATGAGCGACGATGACGGAAGATGGCGCTTGCTGTTGGAACTGTTGCACTTGGGACTTGGATTGGTGAGGAGGCGGAATAGGGGCTATGTGGTGTTTCCTATAATATTTATGATTCCCAATTATTTTGTTGATATGAAGGTATTTGGTTTTCTGTTAAAGGCAACTAAAAATACTAGTTTTCAGTCGTTATTATAAAATGTGTGTGGGGCCTGGTCCGTCTCTAGCTACATGGGTTAATTATTTTGTATGAATATCGATACACAGTCCTGATCACTATTCTGCCAAAACATCTTCCCACTATGAATCAACTGAATACTTATGTATATACAGGATGTTTCTTAATGATATGAGAGAATATTTAAGGGTGTGAATCTACATGAAAAATTAATGTTAGTTTGCTTTATAAACTATGGTCCAAAAATGTTATCTTACAAAAACTCGAAGTGTTGAAGTTTTAGGAAAAAAATGGAAATTAATATTTTCAGATACCGCTTCAGATATTCCACTGATATTTAGTACTTCGTGAAAGTTAATAAAGTTGGATATTTTTCAATGCAAAAATAATTTTTAGGTTTAACAGTGGCGTGCGTACGGGTATTTACTTCGATATTTAAAAAAATGGTACGCCAATGATTTTTTGCCAAATAAGAATTATTTTTGAATTCCCCGTTCAATTTAAAACAAATGATCTCTCTTAAATTGTTTTCCTTCAAAGCGCCATTTTTGAGTAAAAAACTAAAAACCGTTCTATTGTCTAACTTGCAAAATTATTATTAATTTAATTGGAAAAATTAAACACATTAGGGGTAATGATCAAAAACAGCTGACAACATAAACATAACATTTAAACTTGTTGAAAATGGCCCCCTTCACTTAGTATGCATGCTTCCGCCCCCCCTTCTCATGGAATTGCGCACTCGTTGAAATATTCCTGGAGTGTTTTTTATTCTATCACAAGCTGCAACTATTCTTTCTCTTAATTCCTCTACAGTGTTAATGGCACTTGTGTACACTAGTGTCTCAAGATAGCCCCACAAAAAGAAATCTAAACTGTTGAGATCTGGGGAACTTGGTGGCGATTCTTGGGGCCCACCGCGGCCAATCCAACGATTTGGATAAACAGTTTGTAAATAATTTCGAACCGCTACACTGAAATGCGCTGGTGCAACATCATGCATGTACCACATATTGTTTCTTATTAATAACGGAACATCATCAAGCACCAAAGGCAACTATTGTTGAAGAAAATTGAGGTAAGTCTCTCCGTCAAGTCGTCCCGGCAAGAATAATGGGCCAATGAAGTGGTTGCCAATAATTACTGCCCACACGTTAACCGAAAATTGGTGTTGGAAATGGGTTTCAATTGCGGCATAGGGATTTTCTTCTGCCTACAAATGATATTGTGGAAATTCTGAATGGCATTTCGAGAAAAATTGGCTTTGTCCGTGAACAGAATCATTGATTCAAATTGCGAATTTTGTGTAATTTTTTGAAGATACCACTGACAAAAGGTCACACGCCTTGGAAAATAAATGGGAAGTAATGCCTGTACTCTTAAAATATGGTAAGGATATAACAAATAATCCACTAAAATTCTCCAAATAATTTGATTGCAAATATTTAAGTGTTTAGCGATCTTACTCGTTTCAGGATGTTCTTCGACTTCATGCAGCACTGCTTCCTCAATTTCAGGTGTTCTCACACTTAGAGGTCTACCTTCAGATGTTCCTTTTCGGACAGAACTAGTTTCAACAAGACGACCTTGAATATTAGAACAGGTTTGACTATCTGGAAAAGCACGATTGGAATCTCTGGTAATAAATCCGTCTGGCTTGCTCACCATTACCGTCGGCAAGGCCATATACGTAATGCATTTCCGCTATTTCTGCATTTGAATAATTCACCATGATTAACAAGATTGTAAAAACTAAATAACGCACAGCGAACAGATTTGAATAACAGAGACGTGTCGGATGTCAAAAGTCAGTGACATATTCCAGAGCAACTAGATATTTATTGCTAAATTGCATTCTTCAATTATTACATTAATTTTCTCGGACAATAGAACGGTTTTTGTTTTTTTACCCAAAAACGGCGCATCGAAGGAAAACAATTCAAGAGAGATCACTTGTTATAAATTGAATGGGGAATTCAAAAATAAGTTTTATTTGGCAAAAAAACATTGGCGTACCATTTTTTTCTCAAAAAATATCGAAGTCAATACCCGTACACACGCCACTGTTGAATCTAAAAATTATTTTTGCATTGAAAAATATGCAACTTTATTAACTTTCACCACGTACTCAATATCAGTGAAATATCTGAAGCGGTTCTAAAAATATTAATTAATTTCCATTTTTTTCCTAAACTTCAACACCCCGAGTTTTTGTAAGGAAACATTTTTGGACCATACTTTATAAAGCAAACTAAAAATTTTTCATGTAGATTCACACCCTTAAATATTCACATATCATTAAGGAACACCCTGTATATTGATAGTAAACTAAGGTTTGAGGATCACTATGAATACATTATTTCAAAAATAGCAAAAAAAACAAATCACTCTTATAGAGCTTCTCATCGTCTTGGTACATATTCCAAGAAAATAGTTTGTACGTAATACAATAATTCTACCGCATTGACTATATTGTTCAACTATCTTGTTCACTGCCAATGAAGCTGTATTCTCAAAATTACAAGTCTTGCAAAATAAAGCTATGAGAATAATATTGAATAAAAATAAATACACCAAGAATTGCAGTGGTTGAATATAAAAAAATTCATATCATATTAGGTTCTTATTTTTATATTTAAAATAAAAAATCATCTTTCGCCACAACATTTAGAACACACTACATAGAATTGAATAATCATTACCACAATTATTATACAAGAGGAAATATAGATCTTAATTTACAAAATTGATATAGTAATGTAACTAGCAAATCAATATTTCAGAAAGGATTACTTGAATTTAATAAACTAAATAATGATATGTCTACTTGTAAAGTTGTTAAAAAAATTGAAGGAATATTTCATGGACAGTGGAAATGCTTAGAGATGCAAATTTTGTTTTCTCTAAATATCTGTAAGTTATGTAATTGTTTAGTTTTTTAGAAGAATGCAATTGTTGCAATCATGCTAAATAAATCTTAAACAAACAAACAAACCATACATTATCGTTGAGAAGTAATTCAAAAAGAACTAACCTTAGGTATAGAGTCCTTTACGCGTCTATATCTCTATATTCGAGCCTCCTAATACATTTTTTGTAATATAGTCATTGTATAAATGAGATTTTTGTCTTCCAAGAAGCTTAAATCCGGGAGAATATCACTTTAACTCCCCCTCTCGTCGAGCATATGATTTGATATAGGATCCCAAATATGGAAGAACTCTATGAATTACCTTGCTACATACTATTTCCCTATTGTAAGATACTATTAAGGGGAAATATATCAATATACATATATCACTCTGAATTTATCGGCAAAGCAAATGTTTTTCTATGACCTCAAAGGTTTCATTAAGGTTCATGGATGAAACAGAAGTGAACTGGTAGTGACGCAAGGCCTACACGCTAAGAATGTGGCGAGTTATAAGAATGGCCGACTTCAGCATCGGTTTAGTCTTATGGGAGTTAAAATTGCTGAAAACTTCTCGCCAAACGCAGAATTAATTATAAAAAGCGAGGCTATTTGTTTGGTGTTAGGAAATAGTGTTCACCATTCAACCTCATTGTTCTATACAAATCCCAGATAAGGCGTAACTTAAGAGTGCTGTATTCATGTCTAGGCAGTTTCTGTATACACCGCTCAGTTTTGTTCAGAGGAGGACAAACCTCCGAATCAGTGACACTTCTTTAATAAATGTGGCTTACTCATCGATGAACGGTTGGTGGCACAGCATCCTCCTAGCGACGTACTGTCGCAATTTGCAGAGCAAACGTAGGAGCGTGTTGCTGAATACTTTTATTTAAAATATCTTTAACAAAATGTCTTATAATGCATACACGAGTGAATATAGAATAAAGTACAAATGCAAACAGCTAATAGTTGATAGCTGACCCAATACGATAAAAAAATACGAACGATGAAGTGCCTATCACCTGAAGTGATAAAAATGAAACCCTCACAAAAACAGGGCCCATCACCTGCAAACAATAAGCACACAAAATGATTCTTCCGAAAATAGATGTACATGAAATATGTATACAATGTATCTTCATTAATTTTAAAACCTTAGCCTTCCATCTACACAGCGTAAGCAACAGTTTTATGTTCTACTTATGATATCTAGATATGTACGAAGAGGAAGCTCATAGGTCACTTAACTCCTGCATAGACAATAGTATACAATAAAGGTGGACAGATATTTTGATTAGACTTTTTGATCGAGTATACCGTTAAGGTTAAAGGTGCGAGAAACCACACTTTATTATGCGTTTGTCGTTTGATACGATACTTCGTCTGCTCATAAACACAGGATTGATTACTTTACTTTCAACGTCGAACAACTTCTGTATACCTGACCACTTTGAAAGGTGCCAAAACCTTTTACGTTGTAAGTATCAAATTTTACTGCGTACTGTTAAAAAGTTAAGGTTCGACTCTTGATGTTCCTCAAAAATTTTCATGCTTGAGTGAAATGACCTATTGTGTGCATTAATGATAAAAATTACCTGTGATGTCTGTTTGGTGATTCCTTGCCAGGTGGTTTCGGTAAGGGCTTGAGGTACGGTTTTATGCTATCGACTGGTTGAGGACTGAAGCCGCAGTAGGGATTTTGAGTTCTCGGCCAGGGAGGATGGTATTTTGTTTCGGGCGAAGCCTGAAAATAAATATTCACTTTTTCGAATCCAAAGATTCCCAAATATCTTCGGATATAAAACGTCTTAATTTGTGAAATATTTATTTAGAGGCTATGTCGGTAACTATGGTATGTATAAAATACCCACTAAAATGATATGAGGATCATGTGATGATGATTTTGTGATCTACAAAGTATTTGAAGCAGTATTATTCGACATATAAATGACACTGAGGAATCGTAATTTGTAACACTATGAAATAGAACGCATGATACAATGAATTTGTTGCATTCATGTAAAATATGCAATGTATGATGTTTTCATGGAATAGTTTAGGTACACTTCGCCCTGAGACGATTGAAGGTGATAATCAATCTCAAAGTTGAGCAGTTGAAATCTGTATAGAGAATTGTAGGTCAAAATATATTGTCTTTTGGAATCAACAGGTACTATCATACACATTTTAACCTTTCTTTCTGAATGAAGTTTCACACCTTCATGTTAACACACACAAAATGTTAGCATACACAATAAAATAATAAAAATCAACAGGGTGGCCAATATATAACTGACCGATTTAAATTGTGCGCCATTTTTGATACACGCATTTCAGTAGGTGGCGTAGTGGTAGTTGTTTGTCATCCATCAACGACCACTACAATCTTGAGTCACAGTTTGGTGCGGTGTTTAGTATAGAGGTATCACTGGACCTTACTTCTTTGAAGACGTTGAAGGTACTTCTCTTACTGTCACCGGCGAGTGTTACAGTGATATAGTGCAAAACTTTCTGACTCCTCAAATCCAACAATACAACCTGCAAAACATGTGGTACCAGCAGGACGGAACAGCTTGTCATACAGCTAGGGAAACAATGAATCTGTAGCCAACAATATTTCCGGGAAGTTTAATTCAAGGTCACCAGATTTAACGGCTCCTGACTTTTTGAAAAATAGGGTTTATGCCAACAAACCAAATACTGTAGGGCAGCTGAAGAACAATATTACAGAAGCGATTGAAAATATTCCTCCCGAAACCTACCAAAAAGTGATGGAAAATGTAATCAAGAGGACTCAGGTTTGCGCGGATTCTAGAGGCGGACATTCGTCTGATATTATTTTTCATATATAATTTCTAAGTTTCAATAAAAGATTAGGATAAAAAATGGACGTATTTTATTTCATTTCACAAATATTCAAGATACAAACCAGTCAGTTACATATTGGCCACCCTGAATATAGTCTTGGAAACACAGCTCGTCAAATAATCTCAGAATGCAGCAAAATACGCCCAATATAAACTAAATACACATGATACTGTCCTGAAACATTTTGTAATTTATCTACTCCATCCAAGAAATAAACACATCACAAAAAAAATGAAATTGACGAAATGCTTGCCACGCACTCAGATCCGTGCATTTTCAAACTTCTCATACAAACAAATCGGAAATTCTCGATACACAACTACTCTTTGAATAACATGATCGATATAAACTTAAGGGTTAAGTGGTAGAATAGCTTTTAGCTAAACTTCGCATCAATAAAAGTCGTTTATTATTATTATTATTTTTATTATTATTGTTATTATTATTATATAAACTTGATAACCTACGAAAAAAGATAGGAATTTGAATTATTTGACCGCTATAACGAATATATTTAGACTACGTCCATAAATTAGGAGAAATGTAAAAAACTGAAGTTTGGGAAATACCTGGGAATTTTTTGGTTTTTGTTCAGAGCATGTCATAACAACATATAGACAGATCGACAGAAATGGAAGACATGCTTTTTAGTGATGTAGTCGTTAAGAGACAAGAGAACTTGCTAAATGAAATTTCAACATTTCCGTGATCATATACTTTCCTCGCTTATGCCTTTGAAGCCACACGTAACAAAATCGGAGTATGTTTTTGCCCATTTGTCCGATTTGGACAACTTTTTGGTCATTGAAGTTTGTCATTTTTATAAAACTAGTGTAATTACGGTGTGTTGTAATAAGTTATTTTGTTTTTCTAGGGTATAAGAAAACAGAGCCTATTTTAATCATAAAATTGTCTACATTCAGCAACTAAAATATCGAGTTGGAATTGATGCTGTAATGTAGCATATATTTTTTTTACTCGTACAACTAACTGCGACAAAAATAATAATGATTCAGTTACCTTTTAGTGTAGTTTTTGGAGAAGTGTATATTTATTTCTCACTTTTTATTTCTAAGAAAAGCCAAAATGTAGCTGTGGTTAAAGGAACTCGTCTATATGAATGAAAAAATGTGCCTGTCGACAGCGTGCTGTAAGCAAATGAACCCCCACTCAATTTCATATTACAGCCCACATCCCTGTGTCACAGACTGACTCACCTGCCTGATGCACCCGCCTTTATGTGGCGGTACGACTGGTGCCTGTTGATGGAAGAACTGCTGTGAAGGCGGTGGTTGCTGTTGTTGCATCAACTCTTGTTCTCGCTCCACCGACGATGCCTTCTTGCCGTTGCGTTTGCACGCCTGGCCGCCTAATAACGGCTCGCTCTCGCACGCACCGTTGCCGCTCATGTGGTGGACTGCCTCACGTAGGGGCGGCAGCCGATTGGTGCGTGATGCGGCCGCTCCTCCGCCGTATAGGTCGTCTCTGGGTGGGCGAGGCGGTCGAGGTGCTCCGCCTATTTGAGGATGCGAAGGCGGCATCTGGTCATGCTGTTGGTGGAGCAGGGCCAAGGGTGTCGCTACGCCGCCGTACAGCGAGTTCAGATCTGGGAGTTAGACTTATGTTACCTTCAATACAAGGCAGACAATACTTTGTTTGTATTTTGGCAGAAAGATGTCATAATATGCCGTCTAGCGACTCCTGAACAGAAAGGTCAGAATAAGAAGAATGTAGAACAGCGCACTAGGAGCTGATTCCCAGTTTTAATGATCTTAAGATACTATGAATGTTGGTTTCCGTGTATGCTGGGTGTTTCCCAACTACAGTGCAAAACTTCATCGGAGGGTGATTCGTTAGGTCGTTTTCAGAAAAAAGTTCCCATGAACATATGACCTGAGATGATTCGTTTACGAGATATATGGCGTTGAATTGAAAAAAGTATAAATAAATATAAATTTCAAAAATATCTTTAAAACCGATTTGGTTGTAATTTTGTGCCATTATTTGATCGGACTGAAATTATTAGGTTCAATGTCATCTCAGAGGGTACCCTGGCGATATTAATAAGAATAAATGCCCAATGCCTTTTTGTAATTGTAAATAATTTTTATATTTTTTTAGATTAAGCAGCTAAAATTACATCTTTTTGATCTCGTGTTTTCTTTAGATTTTATTTGCCATAAAAACTTCTACGTCTGTTTTTGGAGTACAAGATCTGTTTTTTATTACAAATTACTGTCAAGTACAATCAAGTACCTACATATCTGCATTGGAGACCAGCTCATAGTGATCGTATTGTCATATCAGTAAAACTCAGAGTTGTGATTCCATTATGAATAATTTTACTAATGCGGAAGAAGCACGTCGAATTTACCAGGACGGATACGTTAACATAGTAATTCGTTGTGCCAAAACATTTAGAACGCTACAAGCAAGATAGTTACTTTCAGCAATAATTTTCGCTAGACGTTTGGGTACGAATTATTAGTGACTACCTAATTGTCCCACTTTTTTCCTACAAGATTATTAGGTGAACCACAAATGAACTTTTTGTAGTATCATTTATACATTTTGTTAGAAAAAGTATCCGTTCAAGTGAGAGTCAACATGTGGTGGTCAACACGGGGTTACAGGTCATTTTGTCTTCTTGCCCGTCATGATCTTGACATCACTTACCATAATCGCAGGATTGGACGTGCTGCACCTCATATTTGGCCAGCTCGCAGTACCGATGTGAATCCTCTAAAATTCCTATTTATGGGGTCACCTGAAGGTTCTTGTTTATAATTCCGGAACATTCCAGGTATTTTTGTATGTGTCAGACACTCAATGACAAATGGATTGTAGTTTTTTAACTTTAACGTAAATTGTTTGTTTTTTGTTTTTCTTTTATGTTGTTCATGGAGAGTTCTTAGAATGAGATAAAGTGATAGTGAAGTGATAAGCTAGATATGAAGAAAACACAAGAGGACAAAAAGTTTTATTTTTTGTTTCTTAATATAAAACATTTAAAAATATAAAAAGTAATTGGCGTACCTTTTTCAATAATATAGCCGTGATACCCACTGACACGCAACTGAACCTAATAATTTCAATCTAGTTCATAGGTTCTTAAACTTATTTCGTCTAGCGCCCCCGAGCTTTTAATTGTAGGTATGAGAGTTTTAATTTTGATTGTAGACATTTAAAAAAAACACGAATTTGCTACTGCATCACCTCGCCGCCGCATCCGTGAGTCCCAGCGCCCTCAGAGGGGCTTTATTGTCCACTATGAGAAATACTAATCTAGTTAGAGCTAAATAGGCGTCTTATTACTTCAAATAATGACTCCAAATTTCAAACAAGTCGATTTAGGCGTATTTGTGATATTTTATAAATACCACTTTTTTTTCAACTCCGGTCATATTTATGTTCATAGGACTTTTCTTTCAAAAATTACCCAAGAAATCACCACCTGAAGTTTCGTAGCGTAGTTAAGAAACTTCCTGCAGGAATAATGAGCCTATGTAATGTTGTAATACAAGTACTATCGCATGTGTGTATCAACACTTCATACAACGCTTCTCTGGATTTCCACTATGGTATAAAGCTAAAAAACTATGCGTATCTAGAGTTGCTTTTGCGTCAAAATCATTGAACTTTTTGTAATTAATTTATCACATGGATTTTTTACAATCTAACAGCAAAATGCAACCTTATCGCACAATTCTTTAAGGCGGCCAATTTTATTTGTGTTTATTTATTTATTTATATATTAATATCTTAATAGGTTTCAATAAAAAAATTGTTTTTAGCACTTTGTTAATGCTTCGTTTTCGCATGTTTGTAGCAGTTAGCGCCTTGTATCACCAAATTGAAGTATTCTATAAAGTGATTTCACAATTAGTAGTAACGACACGTTCCCGTTCTCTTGGGTTCTCTAGTGTGAAGACAAATTAGAATAAGTATCAGACACTATCATATTTATCAGAAAGAACACAAAAGTGCTAAATTAATTATTTAATATGAATTATTTACACAGCAGCTATCAAAATTAGAACTGAACAGCATGAATGTACTGTTTTACAGTGCCATTAGTAGTGGGGCAACCGAATAAGGGTTTATTTAACTACATATCTTTCACAGGTTAATATTAAGAAATCATAAATCTTATTATTCCTACCAATTGTCAAGCTAACACCACAATCCAGCACTCCACAAAACACACCCCTGAACCCTGTTATTACCAATATAGCCTTACTGTTCACGTTATTCGCGTTCGACCTGATGTTGTTCAACTCTTCCACTCTCAAAGTGCCAGGCTGTTTTCTATCGATGAGAAAATACGTCGTCATGTCGCCTTTGCCCTTCACTTTCACCTTGCCGCGGCATTGGAACTCGTATGGGTAGTTTTTCAGCACCTGATATACTTCCTCGGTGACCTGTTATAAAATAAACTTTTTTATACAATATGTGTAAAGTATAAAGCCCATCATAAGCAGATCAACTGTAATAATCTTCAAAAAGAACCATTTAAATCCTGTTTTACATGTACTGTACAAAGTCTGTAAATTGAGTGATGAGACTGATTTAAAAAAATATATTCAAATATTATTACAATTTTATATTGTCACCCTCAAAATAACTTTTTTCTGAAGCAACACAGAGCTGGACACAGTTCTTCCACTCCTTATAGCAGAGCTGAAACTCCGATACTGGAATAGCCTTCAGTTGGTCAGTTAGAGACGTTTGAATGTTTTCGACTGTCCCAAAATGAGTTCCCTTTAGGTGGTTCTTCAGGTTCGGGAACAGAAAAAAGTCACAAGGACTGAAGTTAGGCGAATAAGGAAGCTGAATGAATGTTTTTGCTGGCCAAAAACTCGTTTATTGACATTGATATGTGACATGGAGCATCGTCATGATGCATCACCCAGTTGTTCTTGATCTGAGGAACGGTGGTGCGAGTCAAATTTAACCCTTCCTCGATCATTCTGTCAATCGACGATCTGAACGCACAAGATCCCGGATTCTGCCCATATTTTCATGGGTACTTGACGATGAAGGCCTTCCGCGTTGTGGTCCATCTTCAATCGACTCTCTCTCTTCTGAAAACGCCTTAAGCCACCGAAAACACTATCTCGGTAGGCCTGTTTAGAAAGAGTTTCCGTAGCAGTGTGCCCAAGTATGAACCAAAATCTGATAGCACACCGTTGCTTGAAATTGATGTCACTCATTTTTAGAACACAATAGAAAAAACTGTTACGCAAATAAAATCGCTACGGATAACCAAATAACTCGAGCGAGTTCAAACTTGTGCTGAAGGTGGATCACATATTCCCCTGTCACCTCCCCAAGGCCGGCGCCAGTGTTGTAAGATCGAACACTACGTGGCCAGTCTCATCACTTAATTTACAGACTTCGTATTTTAAATGACAGTCTTTTAGGTAGCATATTTTTAAGATTCTGGAGTTCTGACAATCGTACTACGGCAAGTTATACAACAATATTGTTGAAAATATAGAGTTATTTTATTCTATTCCTTACTAGCGGTAACTTCGTCATCAAAAAAAAAATAAAAACGAACCTGTGTATGATTTGGTAAGCCAGTTGAATCCATACGACTTGCTACATTAACTGTATTTCCCCAGATATCGTACTGAGGTTTTCTAGCACCTATTACACCAGCTACAACTGGTCCAACATTTATACCTAAAAAACGAAGTACTTAACACATATTTTCACTTTTTTGTTTAGCTGTTCCCTAAATTATTCAAGTGGATTAAAATGTCACAGTATATAATTTTGAAAAAAGGAACTACTTAGCTCAGAACCGTTCGGATTTTGCTAGTAGCCAATAACAAAACAGTCCTGATATGCCGCAAACCTACTGCACAGAATCAGATCGGTTCTGGGATAGTTCTTTGTAGATCTCGAACAATGCTATTTATCCTTTATTGTTAGGTCACCCTACCTTAACTACATGACATCACAAACAACATGGCAAACTTGTTAAGAAAAAGTAGAAAATAGGACAATGTCGTTCCAAATTCCATTTTTACATTACATACAGTTCAAACATAAGTGTGGGGAGGCTTTTTGAAAAGAATTGTATATAGAATATGTTAGTCCTGAACAAAATCATATAAATTCATACATGTGCTGTCCTACTTGTATTTGAAAACGGAAATAAATAATTTCGTTATTTTGAGTGTATAAATAGTATTTTTGCTGCCAGGGGCGTGGGATACTGATAAAAAGCCTATTAATTCGCAAGAGTAAATTTTTGTGATCGTATTCATTATGAACAGATGTTCGTGGCTTCATCTGCGAATTTCGTGGCTCAATGAAGATTTGTACGCCATATGGGCGGAGATAAGACGTAGAATTAATTACCTATTATAAATAAAATTACATTCAGAAATGACCTCAAATTGCAAATACGAATTGATTGACAAATAAAACAACTGAAAGAAATCTATAAACTAAGTACTTACCTACTCTTAACATGAAATTATTGTAAGAATTTTCATTAATATTAAGTAATCTCTCCCGCATGGAGAACACGAACTCGACCAATGTGCTAAGGTGTACGCCTGCTGTCGTTTCATCGTCATCCAATATTCGATAGTCAGGCATTAGACCTACCGCAGCCATGTACGTGGAACCGACAGTCTTGATTTTATCTATTGCCTTAAACTTCTCCTCTGACAGCAAATCATCGAAATCGGCTATGATTTCGTTAAGCAGTCGGAGACATTCAACACCTACAATTAAGAAGCATGTTATAAGTCACATTTTTCAAACAGTTGAACAGGTCTGTTTACATGCAATCTTCAATTATTACTTCGATAAGACTTATGATGCCACAAACTAATTGTATCACATGCGTGAATCCCAAATTCTATTATCGATGATTTGTAGATTTTACACAAAAGGTTTATAACAAGATGAAACACGTAGGTGCATTAAATATAAACGAGCCTAAATCAGTGACAATTGCTATTTACAAATAGTTCAAATCGCCTGTCAGAGCTTGATACATCAAAGGACTCCATTGTCGCTAAATCAAACTACACATGCTTTAGTTACTGCTTAATGTACGATGTTGGGCCACCACGGTGGCCTTTTTCAAATACAATGACAGTAAATAACAATATATTTTATTTATCTGTCTGCCACGTGACAATTCATTTGTTTTTTCTTTTTTCCATTACTATGCAGTGTGTTGCGACAACTTCTTGAACGGTAATGTACCATGCTGAGATCGCGCGAAGCCATCATTACAATTTTAATATGGCACCACGAAAAACAAAAAAAGCCGAGGATCGCCTGGAGTAAGCATCCAAGCTCCCAAAGGACATCCAGCCTGACAAAGCAACAAGCAAGGGTGAGATTATTTTTCGTTTTTATAAGTACCAAATATGTCACGTTCGTCCATAGTCACGAAACGCTAATCGCTCTCCAAGAAAGCGAAAACCCACCCAGAACTGTTGTGCAATTTTAAACTATAATAGTTATGTTGCATACATATTTTCCATGGATCTGAAATGCCTACCCCAGGATTCCTGGATTTACGTGATACCATCTTAAAATTGTGATGATTAAAAAAAAAATAAATTAACTGTCATTTGGAAGACAGATAAACAAAATATATTGTCATTAATTGTCATAATACTTGAAACACGCATCCGCGGTGCCCAAAACGTCGTACAGTACACAGTAATTGAAACATGTGGTCTGTGGTTTGATTTAGATTTAAACAAAGGAGTCTGGAAAATACCAGAATAAGTATCACGTGTTACCTTTACTTGAATCATATGCGGCCCTACGCCTAAACTGCATAAAGTCCAACATTAATTCAATCAGGTCACTATAATGTAATCTGTGTACCAACTAATCGCTGGCCCATGCCGCGCCTACACTCACAGTGAGTACCACCTAGTCTATAGAGTATACTTTTGAACAAGATGTGACGGAGAAAATGAATACAAAATTAGAAAACAACAAAAAAACATGCACTGGATGGCAGATTTGGTTGTAAAAAGGAATCCAATATGGCGGATGCTCAAAATGGTGATGATTCATCAATTCCATAGTAACCGCTGGGTATGGGTATCAAATGGAAGGGCTTGACGAGAGAAACATGATAAATGCAATACGACGCTCTACAGTAACCGTTATGATATGGGTATCCAATCAAAAGGCCTGTTTGCTTTCCACTGTGTGTCTCCAAGATTAGAACTATACCGTACTTACAATTGCCAACAAGTACAACGTTGTCGGTTGGTCATAGTCAGAGAGACGGAGCGCGAACAGGTTCAGTTCAGCGTTAAACCAGCGTTTTAATCATTTATAACTTAAAACTGATTTTCATTCACATTTTTGTTTTACCTCTGTTCCCTTCTGTTATGTACACACTTGTTGCGATGTTGTGCCACGTTTTGGGGACAGTGACAGTTTTTTGCTACTCCTTGTTTGTAGTGAGGTGATTATTAATGGTATCTTTGAGCGGTTCAATTATATAGACGTCATATGGCGACGAGTCAAGGATGTAAGCTGGATGAGTAGCTGGATGAGTACATATTGGCTTTTTTTTATATTACTGGGTAGCGGTCTGACGCCTGGCGTTGTCAACACACCTCTACGCATCCGTGACGGATTAATACCTCAAACTTTGCAATAATAGGCAGCGGTAATGATTCTACCATCTTAGAAACAATCGATCAATATACAATCCCAGAGCACGGTGACAAAGCCTTTCTTGCAGACAAGCGCGTCAGTGCACTAGTTTGCCTTTCCCCACTCTTTGGTGGAACTTCTCGATGTAGTATTATTTCTCAAAGTGGGCGATAACGCCCCCTTGTGGGTGCTGGTGGCTAAGAATGACACACTATGTGTATTCATTGACGAGAAAGATAAAAATACGTTTTGCAACCACGAAGTGTATATATTTTTCTCGAGAATCGTATGCACTACCAATAAGAACACGCGAGTGACACTACTATACTATTATTCTATTAGAAAAACCCCCTTTCCGCTATTATAAACGTTGCATACTGGCCAAGCCGACATGCCGGTTGGTACATAATTACAGAAGGCTCGTTTATGTTTAATTCACCTACATGTCAGTTTGATGTGGATAACTACTAACCTTGATTATTACCATCTAACTCCGTGTAAAACTCATGATAGTTGGTAATGGAGGCAAACACTACCCCCACTCGAGAGTAGCTCTGATGGTAGAGTTCCTGCGATAGAGTATTCTGTAAGAGAATGTTCCCCATTCCTTTTATATTATCCTCGATTGTGCAGCCAACATTTAGACATCTAGACAAACATTCACATTTCCAAAAAAGTGTGCTTGTGCAAGAACAGTAACGTAACATGGATAGCAACTTAAAAAATATTGAAAGATTAGAGAAGACTAGTGGAAAAAACTAATGTTGCCTACACAAGAAACAGAGCATTCTCTTTCAACAGGAATAACGGAAGAACAGAAACAGTGCATAGTGTAGAATAATAGAAGTAAAATATATTGTAACAATGCAGTGTAACACGCACTCATTTCATCAATGAAAAATCTTCAAATAAATTATATAAGTTTTCTATTTCTGAAGTATTGGTGTTAATTCTAAATGATTTGTGAAGCCTGCCCTATGTCTAAGCTACTCGTACGTTTTACTTCTACAGCCTGAAATCATCATGCAGATGTAGTGTGTCTGCGGTGTGAAATCGCCCTTTTTATCGCGTTTAGACACTTGCTTGGCATGATGATATCCACCTAATTTTTAAGCGTGTACCAACTAGTTTGAGGAAACAACGTACGGGTAGCATGTGTGACTATGCCAGCCTAAGTAGGCCCAGATCATATAACACTTTTTTTACCCCGATAAACACATGGTTTAAATGTAGTTTATACGGGTGGCTAATATATAACTTGACTGATTTCAATTGCGTACCATTTTTGATACAAGAATACAGTAGGTGGCGCCGTAGTAGTTCTTTAAAGCACATGTGTCCAATTCATCATGGAGCGCTACACGATCCCACAATATTTCGGTCGAAATAATGTGCCTAGTGTCAACACCATTCGTCAGTGGGTGCGGAAATTTGAAGAAACAGGTGAAGTTAAAGATTTGCCATGGTTGGGCCTTGTTCGACTCTTCGTACTCCGGAAAATATCGAGAGAGGTCGTGAAAGTGTAGTGGAGCACCCTGAGATGTCTACCAGACATCGTTCTCAAGAACTGGGTATTCGTCGCACGTCATTATGCACTATTTTAAAAAAAGACTTGTATTTGCGGCCATAAAAATTCAGTTAACCCAAGAACTACAGTCTAGTGACCATGAAAGTCACCGACAATACAGTCATGCAATATTGCAGCTTAATAGCCAAAATAACGATTTTTACCGACAATAATGAGCGATGAAGCCCACTTCGATATGAACGAATTTGTTAGTAAGCAGAATTGTCGTATCTGGGCATCAGTCACAGTTTGGTACGATGTTTGGCATGGAGGTGTCATTGAACCTTATTTCGTTGAAGACGCTGCAGGCTGCAGGTAATTCTCTTACTGTCACTGGCGAGCTAGGGAAACATCTTTTGCGCTCAATATTGTCGTGACATTTAATTTCTCGATTTGGTGATATCAAGTGGCCACCAAGGTTACAGGATTTACCGGTTCCTGACTTTTTTATGGGGATATTTGAAAAATAGGGTTTATGCCAACAAACCAAATACTGTAGAGCTGCTGAAGAACAATATTACAGAAGCAATTGAAATTATTCCTCCCGAAACCTACCAACAAGTGATGGAAAATGTAATCAAGAGGGCTCAGATTTGCGCGGCTTCTAGAGGCGGACATTTGTCTGACATTATTTTTCATATATACTTTCTAAGTTTCAGTAAAAGATCAAGATGAAAAAATGGACGTATTTCATTTCATTTCACAAATATTCAAGATACAAACCAGTCAGTTACATATCGCCCACCCTGTATAAGTCCGTTCAAGCAGAAAGATGTTAGGTGATACTGATACCAGGATTGCCTTCATCAACCTACCACAAATAGATTTCTAATAAGAATAAAAATAAATATGAAGTGTAATGTTGCCACCATTAACGTTCTTTCTTTCCAGTAACAAAGATTGATATACACTACATTCCAACCATTGGTTTATCGTGGAATATGCATACAGGGTGGCCCATTCATGTGTGGACGGAATATTACTCATAAACAAATACATTCTTCAATATTGGCCATTATACAAGGTGTCCCAGTTTTGACCTACATACAATATCAAATTTGTGATTTTTCAAATAGAATGCCTCAACCTTTATTGCATATTTGGATAAACCAATTCAAAAGAAGAAAATTGATATAGCATACTATCTCGTTTTGGTAATTAGCTACTGAGATATAAGGTGTTTTGTCCAGAAAAACCCCCCACTTCGGCAACCCCTCAGTCCGCCATTTTGAAATCTGGAGTGCTGAATTTTGTACCAAAAAACTTACACACCTCAGCTTTTATCTTATTTGTTACTTTTTCCGAATTTTAATTTTTGCTCATACAGGGTAGTAAAAAACGCGAATTGTAGTTTTTCTCAAAAATTTCAAATGCATCACCCTGTATATTTGTGCAAGTTTGGATTAAATTTTTTATAAGCTTTTTTTGATACTACACATAAGGGTTTTTACGGCTGTTTTTTGCTATTAGCACGTCTTTTATGGAACGGCTTAATTCCCTAAAATATCGCATCATGCTTGGTAACAAATAAATTGTTGATTAGGTACAAACTGTCAAAATTAGCTTTGTGAGCATTCTTACTAAAAACGTGTTTGAAAATGAATTCTTTTAAGAAGAAATGGTGAATATGGTGTTCGTTTTGGGCGAAGCCCAATGAAAGAGTTTCCTAGTATCTCGCATTATATCTTGGCCAATATCAGACCTTTCCAACTCGAGCACTTGGTGCTGGTGCGCTCCGGTGCTGAACCCAGCGGCATCGGTGCCGTTCCCCCTCCACCTCGACCGCACAGCCGTCGCGACATAGAGAAACATATTAGCCGCGCGGGCCATTTCTTAATAGGACAAGACAAAGTGGACAGGTTTTTTAGCATCTTAACGTGCATCTTTTTGTAAACGATGTCATTCAATCCTGCATGGAAGAAGCCTTTTTTGTAAATACTGATGGAAAAGCAAAATGTTTAATTTGTCACACGCTACTGAGGCCAGCCCTTCTAAGTTCTGAAGAGGTAATTATTGATTTGGTCCTAGTTGATTATTATTAATGGTGTCGTAATGCAAGTTATATTGAATATTATTATATTTGAAAATCGCAAAAAGTGGGAGACCGTTTACTAACGGTGCACTTGTCAAAGAATGGTTAGAGGAGTGTGCAGAAATATTGTGCCCATCTCCTGTAAGCAACTTTGAGATAATTAGTATGTCCGAGCAAACAATTTCTCGTCGGATACTTGAACTTGGTGCAGATTTAAAAGAACAACTGCGGGAAAATGTTCCCATTTTGTGCAGTATTTTATAGCTCTCGATGAAAGTAAAGACATTTCTGACACAGCATAATTAGCTGTTTTTGTTAGAGGTGTCGAAATAATCTTTACTATCACCGACGAACTACTAGACGTTATTCCGCTCAAAGATACAATGGCCAGAGAAGATATTTTTGATGCTGTAAAATACACAATGAATGACATGGGTATACTACTCAAAAGTTTGCGTAGAGTTGTTACTGATGGAGCGCCAGCAATGTTATCGGAAGCACAAGGTTTTAAATGAAAATAATAGTACGCGACGCTGGCCTACCTCCGATATCATCGGTACACTGCATATTACATCAGGAACAACTATGTGCAAAAACCTTCCGCAATATCAAATCTATTATGGATGAAGTTATAACATGTGTCAATTTCTGCAGAAAGCAAGGTTTCAATCAAGGCAGTTTGAAGTATTTCTAAAGACCTGGAAGCAACTTACGGTGACATACCCTTTTATTGTGTCACGCGCTGGTTAAGCTGCGCAAAAGTACTTAAGATTTTTTTTTTAGTTCATTGACGACATTGAGATGTTTATGCAAATGAGATTTTTACGACGCCATCTTCATTCAGTGCTTTTCGAAACAGAACCGCCGCAGTTTCAAATGGAGTTGATTAAGCTTCAATGCGATACGATCCTTAAGGATAGATACTACCACTACAATAGTAATTTAATTTCGTTTTATCAAGGGGTTAAGCAGCAAGATTTTCCCAAAATCCTTGCACTGGACTTGGAAACTTGCTCCATGTTCGGTACAACGTACTTCTGCGAGCAGATGTTTTCTTTAATGAATTTAAACAAAACTAAAAACAGGTCTTTGCCTGATGTGTCCTTAGAGGCGATACTCAGAATTTCCACTGCTCAAGCCACTGTACCAAATCTTAGAAAACTTGTTGAATCGAAACGCTGTCAAAGATCATCTTAAGAATAAATGTGTTTACGTCGAAATTATGAACATTATTTTATCACCCGCGCGTTGACTCGATCAGACCAATTCAAATGTCAATACGAATGTCACTCCACTCATTTTCCGTTGGGGCTGGGAGCCGGTGAAATTAAACCTTATCGCGGATTTTACTAAGCTTAGTAATAATATGTAGTTTCAAAGTAAATGAACAAAAAGGGCTTGGTATGCCGATGAAAGTACCTGTCATATCGACTTGAAGATACAACGTGACGGCAGGATTTTACCATAACCTAGACGTATATCAACGGTCATGACGTTTCATATTCATTTTACATATACTTTCAAACATCTAGAAGCCTGGTGTCACACTGACAGACTCAAATGAGCTTTTAAATGCAAGCATGAAGCATACAAACGGATGTATTATTTTGATCTATTTGAATTACCTGGCTATAGCTTTCAGACGGTACGGCAGAAACTTCTGACGGAAATCAGTTTGTCATACAATGTTTATCCAAATGAGCCAAAAATTTCCATCAAACCTTGTAAGCTTCGTTGGATTCCGTGAAATTCTCTTGTCACGCTGTATCTTTAAGTCGGTATGACAGGTACTTCTGGCAGGTTGCGTCCCGTCTCACTGAGCTTTTCTTGTTCAATTACTTAAAAACTACATATTATTACTAAATTTAGTCGAATCCGCGGTGAAGGTATACTCAATGCCACCAGCTTCCGGGTCATTTCTATTCGCAGGGTACTACGGTTAGCATAACACCTTCCTCGCGATGCGTATGCCGCTGCCTAATCCCTCCCCCACCTTCAAGGAGTCACCCCGCAGCACTGTGCTGCGAGCGGTGCTCGGCGCTGCACTGGTGACACCCGAGTTGGAGAGGCCTGGCCTATATCTTGGCCTCCTAGATCACCAGATAGGACACCGATGGACTTCTTTCTATGGGACTACGTTAAACAAGAGGTTTATAGATATCCAACCATCTACCCCGGAAAATATGAAGGAAAGGATTAAGGATGCTTTTTTGAACATAAGGGAACACATGCTGAGGGATGTGCAACGGTGCATTTATCCAAAGACTACGGCTGTCTATTCAACATGGTGGAGATATTTTTGAGCAGTTTTTGTAGATTAGGTCTTGACTAGTGATAGTTGTTTGTTTATGTTATTGTTATAGTTGTCTTTCTCTATTACGCTTGAAGCTGAATACTGTTCTGATTGTTATTAGTTTTTACGTCAAATCTGTATTCTTAGTGGCAATATGGAACTAGCCCACTGTATATACATGTATGTCTTTTATTTCCATAGATGATGTGATTTTTTCCTTAATTTTGGTGCTGTTCTATTAAAAGCTTAGTAACACAAAATCTAGTGATTTTATACGAATCAAACTTTATACCAAGAAAAATCTTATAAAAAATTGAATCCAAACTTGCACAAATATACAGGGTGATGCATTTGAAATTTTTGAGAAAAAGTACAATTCGCGTTTATGACCACCCTTGTATGAGCAAAAATGAAATTTCGAAAAAGTTACAAACAAGATAAAAGCTGAGGTATGTAAGTTATTTTTGATACAAAATTCAGAGCTCCAAATCTCACAATGGCGGATTGAGGGGTTGCCGAAGTGGACGGTTTTTCTGGACAAAACACCTTACATCTCAGTAGCTAATTACCAAAACCCCATAGTATGTATCAATCTTCTTCTTTTGAATTGGTTTATCCAAATATGCAACAAAATTTGAGGCATTTCATTTAAAAAATCACAACTTTGATATGTAGGTCAAAATTGGACCCTCAAATGTCATGTATAACCTGCCATGAATAGATTTTTCCAAAATGTATTTGTTTATGAGTAATACTCCGTCCGCACATGGATGGGCCACCCTATATATATATATACATGGAACTTGGACTTATAAAAGAACAAAATTTGTTTAATAAAAGTGTTAACAAGTGATTCTTCTTGATCACATGACAATGCGTGTTATACTTACGAACATATAGAGTGACGTTTCTATTCCTGTAACTGAACATTTTGTATGCCTATATCATTTAGGTAAATATTCATACTACAATATAAGAGGTTTATAATAAATTTGATTAGCATACTGAACTGTTGCTTCTCTGACCTGATCGATTCCAGAGCGTGACGTTATTTTATACTCGTAGGACGCCTTAGTGTTTGTTTAGGACAAATCCCATGAAACCAATCGACTACCTAATCCTGAGTAGTGTACATAGGAAGGATTTAGAAAATCTAGGTTTATTCGATATGGACCGTTAGTTGAAGCGATTCTATTATTTCTATTGAATGTTCAGTAGCAACATTGGCAAGCTCTTCTGAAATTATTAGTGATTTCAAAAGCCAATCACTTTGGGCTTAGCTTATCTATCATTTAGTGCTTTATTACGAATGCATCTTACAATTTACAGGAATAGAAAATAATGAATGTGTTATCAGATGATGTGACAAGAATACGTTCGTAGGTAGAATGTAATTTTTATAGATGGGTCGATAGATTTCTATTGAAGTATATCGAGGAAAACCGAAAAAAAAAAAAACAGAATTTCAACATAACCGTAAACCCACTGACCATATTATTCCTGAACTGATTGTCCAAGAAGTGCGTGGCGACGTGTGCAGGTAGGAGGTTGAAGAGGATGCGCTTATTAGAGTGCTGCAACGCGTCCATTTCACGCTTTTCTTCATTCGCCTGGATCTGCCACAGGAAATCCAGTCGAGCAGTCCACTCTACTTGCCTGCCGTGCAGTAGGACGGCCAGCACGAACATGAGGACTTCCACGACGCTTAGGACGTGGAGAGGAATTACAGATCTACGGAAACAGTACGTGGTGAAGATGAATGACCCGAGTGCAACAAGTATACAGCGATACAAGAAATTTTCTGTACCCAAAATGTAGTATTAGTTTTTAATAACTTGAGTACTTTTTCCATTTTTTAACTTGTTCGGGTTGTAACACATAGTCATTAACAACAAACCCAATGTGTCCTGTCTTTTGGTTTTATAATTGTGTTCTCATCCACGCTTTCATTCTAAAACACCATTTAGCAATAGCCTCATCGACGAGTAAGTAATTTGAAAATTTAAATCTGTTCTAATTTGGTTGCTATTTTCATATTTGTGTGAAGATGACAACATAGTTTGTCGAAAGCTCGAGATTTCAGTCAAAAGAGTTCACTACGCTTCAAGTTTTGACAATTCCCAATGAATAATTTAATTGCATTTTTTGCCAAACTGGTCGTTGGCAATGGTAATGACAACTGCTCGTATATATATATAAGATTCTTCCTTGCATACTTCTACATACAAGTAAGATGATTTAAAAACTAGGCAGTTAATAATTTCAGTGTTTCAGTTTTGGCTTACGTATCAAGGCAAGGATTTCATATTTGAAATTTCATCGATTGTATACTGTCCCTCGATGAAGTGTAATCAATTTCTCGGAAAATCGAGGAATACAAAAAAAATTGGAATATACGATAATTAATAATATTATTTATTTAAATATTTATTTATTTACGGTTTCCCATTAGATAAAAAAAAATTAAGTTGATGTGACAGGTTACAAAAGCTTTATATAAATTATCAATGTAAAGAAGATCCACATATTCATATGATACCCTATCTACTTATATTTCAAACCAAACAAACTAAAAATGAATGTGCTTTTTGATGTTCCTAATATTGCTACTGCAAATTTCTATATTGTAGCTTACAGCAAGATTGTCAAATCTAAGAATTATAGTAACTGGTACATTCGTACCATAAGTCGTAGAATGATGTGGAATTGTAAACAGCTCCGTATTGCGAGTTCGCCTTTCATTAGCATTAAGATTTATTTGTGCATTTAAAAAAATATCTACTGAATAGAGGCGTTTCACGGCCATACCAGAGTATATAAAGGATGATTGGAAAGCAGCGACAATGCTTCTACTGCAAAAGGTATCACGGGAAATAGTTACGGTTATATTTCGGAATCGAGAGAAAGCTTAAAATTGAATCAGTGGCGTAAAAAGAACGATATTTTAATTCCCATTGAACAAGACAAATATCTTCCATGCCGCTGATTTTTTAAACATATTTGAATAATGTATTTAATTTCACGGAAATTGTATCTCTTGATAAATGTTTGTCCTGTATAGATTTGAGGGTATACTGGTTCAAATATTTGAGAGATTTTAATCTTTACTTCAATCCGTTCTCTGACAGTTTGCTGAAGTTAGTAAAGGTTGACCCTAGTTAAGCTATACCAAGACAGGACACTGGAATATTTTTGAAGATTATCGGTTAAAATTGGTTAGGCACTATATTACTGGTTGTCTTACAATAAACTAATTTTAGTATTTTTGACATGTTGATTTTTCCAAAATATTTTGCATGCTGTTATTTGACTCAACAAGACTTTGAACATTTGAGCAGATTAATGAAGTTTCTAAGAATATTATTTATTGTGGTAATATAGCCAACCATACTGTATTTAGGAGTTCAAAGAATTATCCGAGATGAAATAAGATAGCCGGCACATAATATATGAGAAATTGTCACATCCAACGAATTCAGACTAGGTAGAACTAGCCAGTAAAAGGCTTCTCATAGTCTGTAGTGAGGATCAAAGTGCACTAGACTAAGTCAATTTTTCGACAGTTCTGTCATTAAATGCGTATTTTTAGTGTCATTTTTGAAATTGCGTGTGTTTGCAGATAATTGTGGTTGTAGATAATTTCAATACAAGGTACTTCTTACATAATTTGCAATGAGCGGCACAAGCCTAATGAAGGTAGGTGTTTCCACCGGCAAGTATTATTATGTTGATACAATGCTATCTACTCGTCATTGTCTGTCAGAGCTGTCCGTAGGACCTTTGTTCTTGGTTGCAGTCTTGTAAGTCAGTAGGTCTGTGAGGTCTGGTTGCTCAGATACCAAACAAAGTCTTGGTGATACAATGCTGTCGCACTGGTAGACAAATGAGACAAAAGTATGAATTCAAACTACGCAAATTAGGCGTCAAACAAAGCAATGTAAACAAATATCTATTCGAATTCGTTGGTCACATCTATGTTTAATTAGGGGTCTACTTTGTAAAAAGTTAGTGTCTCTTAGATGACGCTATAGCCAACTATAAGCTAAATCAGGGTAATTAAATCTCTCTAGTAAATACCCGAGCACTCCCGAAATTTTTGCATCCATGCGCTTTTGATAATAAGGTTCCCACAACTTTCAAGAAAATAAAAAAGGGGCTTATGAGTGCCCTCTAATATGACCTAGATGATGACCTCAGGCGCCATTTGGAGATCGCCTTAATTTATTCAATGAATCAATCAAGGAATCAATTTTCAGAGGTGAGATCTTACGGCCAAGCCAGTGTGTCAAGCTTTAATGTATGAAAAGTACAAGAACACTAGAAACTTTGAAATCACAATTTTTTTGAGAAAAGGTGTATACAAAAGTTTCACGAGAACAAAAATGGAATTTCCTCCTGTCTAAGACGTCATTTGGAGGTCAACTTCATAGATTCAAATAGCAATCACTATTTTTGACAGCAAATTCTGAATCTGTGCGAGATTATACATAGGAATACACTTTTTACATTAGTTAATGTGGTGATAAGTGGCAAATTAGTAGGTAAATGTGCTATCAAAGTATTTGCTATATGAATTTACGAAGCTGATCTGTAAATGATCCTTGATGTCATTATCTAGCTCAAATTAGAGGCCAATAAGCAAAATCCATTTTTCAATCTAATCCGATAAAGTGCACGTTTCTAGGGTGTTCTTGTATTTAAGAGGAGAGGAGAATCATACACATTCTCATAGATAAAGAAAATTATCGCATTTATCTCTCACCAAATAACAATTCTTGGTTAAAGGTTATTCTGTCTCTTTAAATTTCTTTGGACAGTTTACCTCTCTAGAAACTATGAATTGTTATTAATTACTTTTGAATGCACTTTCTACCCATTATTTTTAGACAACTCTGTACATTGTTTATTTTCGGATTTTGTATAACGTTCTATAAGCACATTTCAAGAAGCTCATGGCCCATTTATAGTTTGCATCGAATATTACTAATAAAGGGAGACGCTAAACTACGTTGCTTATCGGCAGCCTACCGCAAATATGTTTAAGAAGTTTTTTAAACAAAATTTTGAGTAACATCTCAATTAACAAATACCTGTTGAGCATAGTAAGGCGAATTATTGATGGCAGATGACCCTGATGGCAGATGACCCTGATGGCAGATGACCCTGATGGCAGTAATTGTCCTTTTCATTCTTCCTCGCCTCGAACGTAAGATTCGACGTCCAAGACCTTTCCGTGGCCAACAGATGTTTTTTGATTGAGATGTCTGTCAATATTATGCAAGACGAACTAAGCTTATTTGCGGTAGGCTACTGATAGTAAAATGTTTTGGAAATTGACGAAGTTTGAATCGTGGGCATATTTGGGCAGATACAGTATTATGGGATCTGGGTATAAAAAGAGTTCATTTCATAAGAAATTATTTTTTTGTGAAATATTCAATGCATTTCATTCTTGAGTACCCACCTCACCCTGCTATCATAGCAGGTAAACAGCTCAATGTGCGACAGCTCGATCAGCAGTACGTACACCGTGGACATGATGACTAGCAACGATGCTTTCAGCAAGATGGGCAGTCGCAGAAAAATGGCGACGGCAAGGTAACCCAATGCACAGGATAACACAATGTACTGTGGCAATGGGCAGGCACGATGGTCGCTCTCATCCAAAGTCACGTTCGCGGTGGACAGAGGCAGGCAAGTGCTGTCTGGGAGACAGGTGAACTGAAAAAATTAACAAGGATGTTGGAGGATTCTAAGGAAAGTCGAAGATCAACCCAGTGTCATCCAGTTATATTAAAGTAAATCCACACATCAATCATTGATCTGGTGATTCTTTCGACTTTTTGAGAGTAATATCCCCATCCATAGACTACTGTCTTCTTTCATACAACAGGATCTCCCTTAGGTTATCTCCTATGGTGCCTTTAAGGTTATTATATATATTATTCTAGTTTATACTTCTCAAGTGTAAAATATGGAAGACTCCATTAGAAATGGCCTATGTGCATTTTCAAGGCCTCAGCAATCTATGGGGTGATTTATTTTTGCGTTGTAAATAGAGCTGGTGATTTTGAGCAGCTGAAGAGACCATGAATTTTTCTAACCAAACATGTTATCGTAATTTGGTTCACTCTATATTTTCGAAACCAAGCGGTTTTTTCGAAATTTGTCGATGACGTCTTAAAAGAATGAAAAGTTGCAAAAATGCTGATCAAATACTAGAGCAATAAAAATTATTTGAAGGCCAAGATGATTCATTGTATTAACATTTCGCGCATTTAGTTCATATGGAATCTTCAATATTTGTTTTTCGTATGAGATGGCATTATATCAAGTCAGATATAGCAAAAACGAATTTAGACTTACACACACTACGGATGGAAGATCGTCCCCCCGCGCACCAGCGCTTTATGAAAGTATCTCTCCTGGGTAAGAGAGCACCGATGCAGCCGCAGCCACCCCTGCTCTTTAATTTTCAATCGTCAACCATTTAATTTTCCTTATCATACTCCCCCAAAATTTCTCTCAGGGTCCGCCTCTTGGGCCACTTGATATAATTTGCTACAAGCGCTGGCTTAATATGACACTAGATGCAGGAAAAGTGTGAAGTCAGTCAAGATCCATCCTGGGTTGTAGCGCTGTTTGAAAGTAGTGTCTTTAAAATTTTTCGTAAATTCCCTTTTTTCCTCCCGAGAATTTAACTTCCACTACTTCGGTCCCACGAAACAAAATGTTTCCAGCATTTTACATGATATAGGGTCGAAGTCGACAAAGTGGTAGTTGAGTGGTTATATATGTTATCACAACCAAATAAAAATATACTCAGTGATAAAAAAGATAGAGCAGCCAGTAAAAATGATTTTACTTGTATGAATTTTGTATAAAATTAGTCATAAGCAAGAGGAAGTCGTGGTTAAGCCAAGTAAACACTTTTGCGGTATCGCTGAATTTCGCTAATACTCATAATGTTGCTGGACCGTATACCCAGTCGTCAAGGCAAGCTAGTTGTACTTGATGTTGAAGAGCTGCTAAAGTTGGTGGAGGATGAGATAAAGAGGTCTCTTCTTTCCATCAAATCTCACGCATGTTTAATTGGCAAATGGTCTAAAGATATGGAAGGCCAAGGAACGAGGTAAATTTGACCGCTATTCCGCGTTCAAAGGAGTGATGAGGAAAGGTTCTAGTATTTCCTGGATATAATGTAACGTCGTTATACTTCCCTTAAAGGTGATTTAATACCATATATGTAATAATGGGCCATGTATTGAGGAAATACTAGAACATCATTGTCTAACAGTCCTCCAAACGTTTGAAAACCCTATTTTCCAATAAGATAATGTCCGTCTATATATTGCTAGAACTATGTACAATAGACTACCTTAATGACGCTCAGACAAGATTCCTTTCATGGCCTCCGAGATCGCTAACGCTTGAACCAAGTTGAGATATCTTGCAGTGAGATACATCAGGATAAGATAAATAACCTCATCAGAAGCATGCCTTGACGACTGGACGAATGTGTACGGAATTGGGATGAGCCAGCACATTATAAGGAAAATTCAGCTATACAGCAAACGTTTTAACTTAAAAATTTAATCACTGCACCCACTTCCTGATGTCTAACTGTATACAATATTTCATTCAAATAAAATAATTTTTACTCGGTCACAGTAAACTTACTACATTAACCTGTGCCACCGTGTACACCAAAACAATAGTGAACATAGTGATGGCCAGCCTGAGAACGAAGCTCTGCGAAACGTCCCACAGGATCCACCTGAGCCGCACTGCTAACAGGAGCATCAGCACTACAGCGATCCAGACGAAGGCGACCAGAAACAGCAGAAGCAGGATGATCGTGCGCGGAAGGACTGCGGCCTGGAGGGCTCCCAGGAGGACCAACAGAACCAAGGCACAAGCAAGGGTCGAGCTGTAGCCCACGTCCACATCGTCGTGGTACTGTAATAATTAGTGAATTTAGAAAGGTTTGATTCCATACTGGTTGTCCTAGAATAAGTGGTCAAGCAATCGGATGCATGTAGAGCATGAAAAATAATGAAACTACTTTTTATACAAAAAATTACCAAGAGAGGGACTAGCTCCAATGCCGTATTGCAAATTTTTTATACACTCCATATATATATATATATTTTTGACACGCCATTGGTTTGAAAAAAAAAACGCGTTACTGTTTCATTTCGGATAAAATGACCGCTTTTGAGAAAAACAGTCAGTGAGAGGGTTGATCCGTATGCTCCACCCCTGATCTGCTTGCGTTAAATCTAAATTTAATTTATACATACGTTTTATTTTTTTACTCATTCCCCTTTAACGTAAATGCTCTTGTTTGATCCTGTATTTCAATAACCGGGTACATTTTTTCTGGCTTTACTTACTTGAACATTTCTTTTTTCTGAGATCTTTTAATTTTGGAAATATTAGTTAATCACTGGGGGTCATTATTGGAGAATGGTGGGTAATCTACCAATTCAAAGGTTGCTTATTGTAGGGTAGCTATATAAATGCAGGACATACGGCTAGGCGCATTATCCCGAGGAAGCAAGACGCCACTTGTTAAAGTCCTCAACCTTTGTGTTTGAAAGCACGTGACATTTTTTAGATTAAGTTTGCATATGTTCCTGTAATTCTACATGTCTATCTGGTAAAAACATATAATGAACTTTTATAATGTTTTGTTCTGTCGATAATTTTACAGGTGGCCGACTGCCCTCTTTGTTTTGACTCCACCGTTAGTCGAATCTGTCAATCCTGGTTGCCCAGAAGAAAAAAAAGGAAAAGAGAAGAAAAAAGTAGAAGAACAAAGAAAAAAAAACGAAAAAAATAACAGAAGTGTTTCGTTCAAAAGGAAACACCTAGGCTTTTTGACTTGGTACACAGATTAGATTAATTTTAAGGTGAACTAAGCAAATTTTGATTCGGTTTTGTTAGAGTGTAATTGTGAGTTTTCTAAAAGTTCGCGTTGATTTTTTGATTACAGTGCGAGTTGCGGCCTTGAATGTTTACGAACTTTCTCTACTGTGTACTCCACTTAGTCACGCAACAGAGGACTGCTATGCGATTCTGCTTGACTATAAAGTCGCTGCGCCTGAAGCTTGACATAATCCCTCAAGTAAGGAATGTCAAGGTCTCTGTGTAGTGTCTCATTTGAGACATACCACGGAGCATTGCAAATTGTTCGCAAAGTTCTGCTTTGCAGTACTTGAACACTTTGCACGTGTGTCTTGGCAAGAAAACACCAAGCCGCACATGCATAGGTAATGGCTGGTCTAATAATCATTTTATATAGCCGTGCCATACTCTAACAAAAATAGTCCTATCACAAATTGAACTAAAGGATAAAGTTCCTCAAACCACGTAAACATATTTTCTTGTGCAATTAACAGTTTTGGTGTACGTTGTAAAGTTGCCAGAATATTTTAAAATTTGTGATAGCCTTCATTTCCAAAACAGTAATTGGGCTATATTTTCCTTTCCAGTAATTAATTATATTATCAAAACGGCCATGGCTTGAATTGAATTAGTGAAGATATTGGATTGAATATTCAATACTTTTTTCTAAAACAATGAGCAACTCTACACGTGCCGTATACACAGCCTCTATTGCCGCATCAAGCTCGTTGCAGAAGTGTTGTCGTTTTGACGTTAAATATTCTTAATTTCGAGGCGAACTGAGTTGGAAGGCAGATACTTTCAAAAAACTCATTTGGATTGAGCATTGAAGTGTATACACAATAAATTGTACGAAATTTCCTGTTGCTTAGTTTGTGATAGATATATAGGAAGCCTCGATTTAAAGCTATCGTCAAAACACAATCAACACACTTTTGTGCATCGCATCCTTCAATATTTAATTTGGCATATATCTATTTTCACAGTAAAAATATTGTATTGGGTGTTAATAATTGCAAAAATCTGCCTCCGTAAAACTGCCCCATGACGGCCGTAGACCAAAACATACGAGGTAGTAAAGTGAAAAGTCAGAAAGAGTAGCAAAATAAAGCGGTAATATTGGGATATTTAGCTTCTGATCCGTCTCCCACTCTCTATCTGGAACCACAAAGCAATTTTCAGTAGTTTCCTGTAATTTCAAGACAATACCAGAGTTATTATTTCTTATCATGTCTTACCTGGTTCTCCTTGTGTCTGTCCTTGAAGCACAGTGTAAACAAGTTGACGTGTGTGGATTTTTCTCTGTCGACGCTCCTTGCCTCTATCGCTTGAGCCAGATACTTGTTCACCCGATTGGAGGGCTGATGGTAAACGCTGGAATGCCTCTTTTTGAACGGTCGTTTGAACTTCTCGGTCACTTTGTTCTAAAAATACAACACAAATGGCAAGTGGTTAGTCCAAGCGCTATATCAGATAGAACAAAGCGGAATTGATACAAAAAATGGCCGGCCGTGACACGAAACAACAGTTGAGGATTACATGGTGGCAAAAAAAATGAGTTGAATGAGTTTGTCGGTACTCGTGTAACTATTAGCCGCCCATCCAGCGAAAGAATGCTACAGGTGAAACGGTGAGGGGTCCGGGGAACCGGTCGGTATCGTCGTTGTCAGATCTTTCTCCTAAGTTGATGATGATTCGCTTCTGACAGCATCGCTTTTCAACAGCAAGTGGCATGGACTTGCCAGTGGAAAACGCAACCAGAGAAAAACTTGCGGGGGTTTTATCATTCTAGCTAAATGAAACCACAAACAGTGTTCTTCAAAAAGGTCGCCTCCCTACTTATTTACTGAACTGGTCAAGTAAGCAAGCTAATATCTGGGGCGATAAAATTAGTGCATGAATGAATGTGATATTTTAGAGTTAAGTTTAAGTTGGTGGCAGGGAGCCATTTTGGAACATCTTTTTAAATAGAATAGGATACCGTGTGATACCTTATTTTAAAGCTCCATATGAGTATTTTATAGCCCCAGAACATAAAATAAGTATCTTTCAAAATGGCGGTAGGCAGGCTGTCAATATTGAACGGTATTGTACAGTGAGTAGCTCTCTCAAAGCTTTATAGATGTTACATCAATCTTTTTTGGAAGGGTGTATTTGGATATGCAATAAAATATTGAAAATTCAGTTGAGATGAAATTTTGATAATCTTCTAAAATGAATTGTTCCATTATCAATATTCAGATAGATCCTTTAGTTATAAACCACTCAACTATTCAAAATGCCCACCTTTGACAGCCTGACAGTTCGGCCATTTTGAGAGATGGTGATTTTTTGAGCCATAACAAGACCCCCAGTTCCACTTACAAAAATGTTCCAAGATGGCGCCCAGCCGCTATCTTGAAGTGCTTAACTGCTATGACTGGGCTAAGTGGACTTCCCATTGCCACTCTGTCTGTCTGCTCTTATACGTACTAGTCAGGCAGCGAGGTAACAAGCTGGGCCACACACAGTGTACAGGAAACCAACGCACACAGATAGATACCTGCACGCTTTGTCCAATCATCACCTAAGTCTGAGGTATGGAGTCATCAGAACCCTGACAGAACGAGCTCGAAGGATTTGCGAACCGGAGAACCTCCAGACAGAACCTGAATACCTGAAAACTGCATTCGAAGCAAATGGCTACAGCAAGAGGGACATCGAAAGATCAATGGGCTCGAGGTCAGCCAGGCCACGTTAAACCAAACAGCGTCCCACCGCCTCTCAAGTGTATCTTCCATTTGTGCCAAGAGTCACGGACAGGATTGGCAGAGTCCTGAAGAGACATGACATTAAAACAATCTTCAAGCCTACGAAGAAGATTCAAAAAACCATCAGATCGGCAAATGAGAAGAAGGACCCACTCTCAGCTGCAGGAGTCTACCACATACCATGTTCATGCGGCAAAGTATACATTCGAACCAAGAAAAGATCAATGGGCACGAGACTCAAGGAGCACAAAGCAAATTGCCGGCTAGGACAAACTGAGAAGTCTGCGGTAGCTGAACATGCACTAAGCAATGGGGACCACAGGATACAGTTTGGGAGCTGCAGGTTGCTGTCATTAGTGAACGGCTATCACAATAAACTGGTCAGGGAAGCTATCGAGATTCACAAACATCCAGATAACTTCAACAGACTCAACCCGATCTGGCACCCGATCCTCAGAAACGCCCGAGCAGTGCCGATCGACATCCCGAAGTCAACCGAAGCGGAACAAGCCATGTCACCTACCCTCCGGTATAAATACAACCTGAGCAAGAGAAATCGTCAGTCTACATCCAGCATCGGAAATGGAAGGACCTCTGAAGAAGCGAAACGTTAGGAAGAAATTCCAACCGACGGCGGCCTTTAGACCCGAATCAAGACAGCAGTTTAAAACATGAAGCTCGTCACTACTATTTATGAAAGTTTTGTATCATTTTTGCAAGTATAATCACAAGATGATTCAAACATTTATTCAGTTATCATAGTATTAAATGAGTATCTTTAGAAAATACGGTTTCCTCAAAGTTTGCATCTCAACTGTTGCTGGCCATCTATACGGAAGATTAAATTCTTTACATTCTAAGCAGACATAATACCTCTCCAAAGAAGCAGTAAGACCTCTGAAAGCAAAGCAGTTTGATACATAATTTAAAGATATCCAGAGATTGCAACGAAATAACCTTATACACACACACACAACGATCCTTAAATTGGTTTGAATATACAGGGTAAGTTTTTAGTGTGGGCTTGTGATAACTGTGTTTTTACGAATAGTATTTGAAAAAGAAAAGATTGTAGTCAACAGTATGCTCCCTACTTACAAAATATTTGTATATCTACAGGGTGGTTCATACCTACATGGTGATCCAAACATATCTTTCGCAAATGGAAAGCAATACATTCTATTGCAGAATTGGATAGGGCCCTTTCAAACGAAGCAATTTGATATGACATACTATAAGATTTTATTTTTAAATTGTTGATATATTGGAAAATATATCGAAAAAAAACACTGTTTACAACTCGCACCCCTTCAACTGTTACAGCATGAGTAGCGAATTTTTCGACGGAAAATTTATGATCAGTTTTTTCTTTTTATCTACTTGCTTTTTCAGTTTTCCAATAGTTTATAAAAGATGGTCAAGAACGCAAAATGAATGATTTTTCAAAAGTTTCAAATGGAACATCCTGTGAATTTCCAGTCTTCAACAGCTTTCTTTTGATGTAAGATTTATGTGGCTTTATATGATAGCTAACTTTTATGAATCAGATGCTAAGTTAAACAAAAAATATTACAATACCTTTCAAAATAAAAAATAGCATTTATCTGGTATGTTGGCGTGAAATTTATCAAGTGCAGATATTGGGACCCACAGTAACGGCTAATAATACTTGAGAATAATTTTTCTTAATAATTACAGTTTTGGTACTTTAATTGAGCCAGTACGAGTAAAGCGATCCATATTAAATTATTAAACACCTGCATTTAGGATATCGCTGGCGCTGGCCTAGTTGCAGGAAAGCGATTTTTTCGAACCCTCCCCTAGAACCCAAATCATGTTAGTGCTTGCCCATAAAAAAAGAGGGATAAGAGATAACACATTCAACGTTTTGTCTGGCCATAGTTATCTACTTTTCTGTAGCAATTTTCGGTCAAAAATAGCTACAATGGGTCTTCAGGCAATACTGCAATAAAGTTGACAGCTGCCCGTTAAAAACTCACCCACTATGTAATTTTACCATGCTGAAGGAGTTTTTTGAAAAAATGCGAGTCATGAAGGGATTTCGTCAGCAAATCTCAGGACTTCAATGGAAACCAGAATGTGCGAAGTGGTTTTATATCAACGCTTTAGATAACAGACATGAAGGTGTATGAAAACAGTGGAATCGTTTTATCACAGCCTGTTAGCTTAAAGGTTAATTCATATGTTCGGTGATGAGTGTACCACAGTGTATTATTTCAATACTACAATGAAAAACGCAATTAATTAATGCCCTCTATTGCGTTGCAGGACGTACTACAAGTGACCATAATAAATGTAAGAAGGCCTGAAAAACAAGGTAAACGCTTTAAGTTAAACTAATCTCAAAATACTCAAGGTCTTATAGAGCAAGGTATAGCTTTTTTAAACAAATTACAATTTTTTTGGACGGCACAATTTTTTTTAAGTTTTTTGGAGCATTCTGAACAAAAAAGGTTTCCATTAACTTTTCTCTAAACCTGACCATTCTCGAGTTATAAGCGATTTGATGTCTGAAGAGCTCTAAAAATGGGTACATTAAATGCTTAAAGACTTGGCCAAAATTATAATTTTTGAGGCTACCAAGTATCTAAATTAAAGTTTAAACCTTGCTTTACAAAACACCGAGAAGTATTTTCAGATTATTTTGTTTTAAAGCTATTGTTAACCTTGTCTGTTAGACCAAAATTGGCATACTTCTCAGTAATATTATGTTTGTTAAGCATAAGGTAAAAAGTAGCTGTAAGCAGAAGCATTAGCAGATTAGGAAAAATTATAAAACACACATCCCAGCCAGAAAGAGAAAAAACAAACTTCAAATCCTAAGAAAAGCAAAATCAACAATAAAATATAAATTTGTCAACAACGATACTAAAAACATCTGAAAAAATAATTTGACAAATTTTGAAGTACGAAAAGTAAATCTTTAATACCTAAAAATTATACTTATTTAATGTGCATATACAAAGGAAAGGTAAATTTGAAACTGCACACCTGATAATGTGCAATGCAAATGAAGCATACCTTTTGAACTGCAAGTAAGTGGAAAAAAATGTTGGGCTTTTTACAGTGCTATATCCTTAATATTGCATCAAGTATCCGTCCAGTTTTTGTCTGGCTTTGTGTTTAGTTTTCAAATTTATAAGCTGTATAGATTTGCTTTATGTCATGCAAGACGTTCTATGATATGTTCTTACCAAGCTGCAATGACTAGTCATGCTGGATATTATTTTAAAAAAACTGTTTCAGTGAAACGACGTCTAATCGCCGTGTATAAAATACGTTTCATTGGTAAAAGGCAAAATTATAATCCGCATTCATATCTGTGTTAATTATAAACTTTTAATTAGTTTCGCAGGGTATGACTACTCCTATCCATGCTGCACTTAGTTTAGTAAGTTTAATTCGCAAACATTTAAAATACTGAGTTGCAAATCTGTCGATAGTGTCCAAACATTTATGTGAAATGTGGAGTTCTACAAAATGTGGATATTTGCTTGGATGTGTTGATTCGATATCAAAATCAATAAGATTAATGCAGTTTATGAGTAGCTTGCTACAGTGCAAGTAATACTTTTGAATTGTCTATCAGTGACCCAGACAAAGATAATTTGTCTGATGTTTAGTTCCACAATCACGTTTCTAAAATTTAGACCACTAAAATGTCAAAAAGTCGGATCTGGCTTGACAGCTTAGGACTAGCATTGTCCAAACACAATTCTACTTTTTGATTTAGATTATAAAGTGTTGAGGCTTATCCAAAATACTGCCAATCAAAGATTTACTTTTGATTGTGTCTATTACACAGCTTTAAGTTAATGCAAAAGCATATATTTTAGCAGAGTATGTCTTCAAGCTGGTTAACCTTCAGAATTTCGTAATCATATTTTGGGTTCAACATTTGGCGGAACCAGTCAGAATTGTGAAAATATTCTTTTTCTGCTGTGCAGAAATATCTTCATTTGCTTGATACGGCGAGAAAAAATACATTTATCTTTTTCTTTACTTCTCAATTGTCTTCCATGAATCTTCTAATACTTTTACAGCTGATTTGATGCACCATCATCGTCATGATCAAACAGTTGTTTCGTTACCTTAGGTACAGACTTCTCCCGTGCTTACAAATATGAAATCTTTTTGACAACAAATGCAAATTCTCAATCAAGTGAGCACTGAAATCCCGAATCTATTCACTAGCGAGTAAAAGGACATTTTTTGGATTTTGTTTTTTATTCAATTATATTGTTTGCCAGTTCAAAAACTCTCGTTAAATTGAAGCTGCGATAGCGTTGATCACCACAGCATACAGCAAATTAATCAAACCAAGAAAACCATTATGAAATCAGATTTAGTACAGATTGGTGTGTATAAAAAAGTCGTAAAGTGCTGAATACACAGAAAAACCAGATCGTAGACAAAAAAATATTATATATTATATTTTCTACAACCACATTGAAAGTGTATCTCGTGGGTTTCATCGTATTCATTTCAATTTGGTTTTTCTGTATTTTAGGTAGCCATTGAAAATCGGAAAAAAGCCATCAAAAAGTGAGAGTTGTAGTCTCTGCGGATGACTCACGTTGCCTTCCGCGCCCTCTGTGACGGAATGGCAGGACTCTTGCGAGGGCGACAGATCACGGTGTAGCACCCTTTGCAGTTCTAGCACCTATAAGCCACATTAGAGACCAAAACTAGACACCAAACTAACTTGGCACCCAGTACAACAAGCAAGTATTTAGCTAACACCTAGATATACTAATATAATCTTAATTACTATTTACACGCATGCATGCATGCTAGGTCCACTAAAAAGCATTGCAGTTGATTGCGGTGCATTTGTACTACGTGTATAAACTGAAAGGACGGCATTGTTTGTCATTTTGTTCACTGAATATCTCTGTTCTTATTCCATACTGATATTTTTATGGTAGCTATAACATTCTACTCCGTCTGCTTCTAGTGAATATTAGCTAGTAGCTCTTCAGTCGAGTAGTTTGAATACTAAAATAAAAAACTAAACAGAAATTGTCAATGAAATTATAGTTCGACATGGTATGCCTGACTAGTTTCCTGTAAAGATTAAGACCACCGAGATGATAAAGCATGCAACATAGTTCAATAATTTCATGGTTTCGTTTATTACTCTCTAACAAAGCAGTTAAATCTTTCATTGTGTCACAAATTTAATCTTGTACAAGTCATCGGTGAAGATATTTTATTTAAAATATTTTATTTTTTGGTGGTCGATCTATCAAGTGTTTTAGCTATTAGAGTCGCGTACAATTTAAAAAACAAGCTTTTATTTAGCTGTTAATAAAATGAGCTCAAAATTTAAAAATAATTTGTTCCTATTGGAAACATTTAAATGATAAAAAGTGCACTTGACGTAACAAAAGGTTTTTGAGAGTTTTCATTAAATTCCCATTTTTAAAAATGCGATTGTTTGCATATAGTTGTAGTATCAGACGATTTCAAGACGTGGTACTTCTTACATAACTTGCGAAGGGAGACACAAACCTAATGAAGGTAGATGTTTCCACATGTAAGGATTATTATTATGTTGATACAACGCTGACTCTTTGGTAGGCATTCGTAGACAAATGAGTCAAAAGTATGCACTAAAACTATGCAATTTTGGCGAAAAACAATGCAATGTAAACATATGAGATTGGCTCCTTCTAACCTAATCGAATTCGTAAACAAACGCTTGCATGTAGACCACACTGCCAACTGGCAACTTGAACTTTCTTAACCATTTATAAGAAACACTAGAGACCACAGTCAGAGTATTTGCTCCCAGGACAAATGCTTTTGGTGACCAATTATCGGCATAGAGGGTTTAATAACTTATGTCCCAGATCTCACTGAAGAAACTTGGTCCTATTCTGACCATGCATTTTGGTGTCCATTGTATTTCCAGGGTTAACCCCTTTAATTAAAATAAAAGCAAGCTCATGTAGATGAAAGTTTCGATATGTTGAATTATAGTTTTTGGAAGTAATTCGTTCGTGTGATCACCAACGAAAAAATAGTTTTCTGCTGCTAGGTACTTCTGTTTTTTAGGTAAGACTTCTACCAATGTCTTCTAATTGTAGCTAAACTTCGCCTTAAAAAAATCGTTTATTATTATTATACTGTTTAACTGATTACTACATACTTTGTAAAAGCTTTCGAGCTCTTGCCTTAAAACAAGCCTACAGCTCTACACTTCTTGCTCACATTTTTAATTATTTTTACTGTCACAAGTTACCGAGTATGTGGAGATGTAAAACACGCCTTTGAAACATGAACCCATCTAGTCTGACATGCGAAAAATACCTATTTATGTAACAACAGCTTTTAAATCTAAAATAAGTAGAAGTCAAGAAATCCAGGAAGTAGATGTACGGGAATTTGATATCTCCCTACAATGAGCAGCATTTCAGGAATGGATGGAAACTGGATATTTCAGTTATGTATTTCTACTTCGCTAACGGGTGGAGGTTGTGCGCTGCATTTCATGAATGCAGGTAACATATTATGTATATTTTGACACACCAAGTGTAGAAAATAGCTTTACCATCCGAAAAAATAATGAAACATATCCTTATTTCCAACGGTCTGTTTGCTATTTTTGTGACTGCATTAACAAAGAGACACTTTTGAAAAAAAAATTGAGATCGAGGCGTTACGATTTTATAACAATGACCCAGAGACAATGATTAGTAAAAATAAAAAAAAAATATTTTCAGGCTTGGTAGGTTATTTGAAGTATAGTTTTGGAACAGCAAATATTGTTTTAGGATTTCGAAAAGGCGTTAACAGAAACAATATTTGAAGTTTTTCAGCCGGATCCTGATAATATTTTTCAGCTCTTATAACAATACATAAAGAAGGTCAAATCTGGAATTATCTAAAACGATTAAGAATGATCAAAAATATTTTTGTTTATTTAGTGATTTCAGTTTCATAAAACATTGTGAAAAAATGCATCTGTATTTACTTAACATAAGTAAAAAATTATGTTCGATTTTGCCCTGGAACCATTACTTTTCAAGACATCACATATAACGCGAAAAAAAGAAATAGCAAAAAGGACCTTTTGAATTTTTTTTTAATTAATATGAATCACTGAAAACATACAATAAAAATGTCAGCTACTTTAGATCTTCAAAAAACTATTATTATGCTATTCAGCCATTGAATGTCTATGTAATTATATGATAGTACGAACATAATTAATAAAATGGTATTATGGCTTTTACTTCTATGGTGCTATAATCTATTTTTCTTTAAAATTTTCTGAGCTTTTTCTCACTTGAGAGCACTACCAAACACGATGTATGTTTAATCCTATCAAAAACCCTATTTTTCTTTTCGACATCAATATCTTCCAGAGGCTGCGACTGATAAAAAGTTTATTCGACCAAATACGGCAGACGTTTAACGTGAAACGTGAAAAAGCTTCTTTATTAGTTTTTCGGCCTTCACTTTCATAGGACTATCTACGACCCAAAACGTTTTCTGATCGTCCTCCTGTTACTTGTGGCCAAACGAGTTAACTTTCATATGGATAAACTAGATATCTAGATGCTACGTTGGACATAATTCCTAATAACTCATACCTTACTGAAAGAAAAAGAGCTTAGCAAAAACACCCACAAAATGCAAAAAATGTCATTAAGTATTATGTCAGACCCTTTTAGAACAAAACTAACTACGGACATGTATAACAAAGAACTAAAATAGATCAAGTCAGTCAATTAGTCCCCTCTTCCCCCTCATTTAACACTAGTAATTTCTACCCGACAACATTGTGATAGCCGTTGCGTGGTCTTTCTTGCCTGCGGCAGAGGCCATGTCACGACACGCTCAGTTCTATTTTCGTTGCGCTCGACGGGAGTATTGAAAATTCTATTGTCATTCTGTACGCGAAAATCTATGTGTAAAATATGTCTAATAAGGTGCGTAGAATTACTGAGGTTAGAAACATTTGAATGTACCTAAGTAATGTCAGAAAATATATACAGAGTTAGTAGAAAAATCTTTAACGGTGGATTATCTCAGCAACCGTCAAATATAAATGAACCAAATTTTGTGCAAATATGAAAAATTCAAAAATTATATTTGCAGGGTTGCCAAGTTTATAGTTTTCTCTCTAGATTGGGGCATTTTAAAATTTCAAATGGAATACCCTAATTTTTATTATTGTATTCAATTGCCTGTATCATCTTTATTATGACCTGATATTATCGTGTTTAACTCTCAATTTCGGAGATATGGCATGATGCTTCTTTCGAAATGAATACAAAAACGACAAGGTATGGTCAATTAACACGAGAACGATCTAACCGAAATTCGTCAAAATTAGTACAGGAGTAACTGGACAATCTAAATTAATGAATTGAATTTGCGATGTTTCCAAGATTCTATTTAAAAAAGAGTCAAGGAAACGGAATAATGAAATTTAATTATCAAATAAGTAAATATTAATGCAAAATAATAACATAATATTAAAAAATAACAAAATACCTATCGACTTAATCAGGTGCTCAAAATTGCTACCATCGTTGGCTGAACAATATCCTAGGCGATTGTAAAATTCTGCCAAGTTATTCGATAACATGTCTGGAGTAATTTGTGTGGATTCATCCAAAATCTTTTGCCTAAGTTCTTCTAAATCGTTGGGCCGATCTTTATAAGCTCTGCACTTCAGAAAACCTCAAAAGAAGAAATCTAGTGGGTTATATCTGGGGAGCGAGGAGGCCATTCCAGAGTGCCACGTCTTCCAATCAACCTTTCTGGAAATTGGTTATTAAAAAACTCGATGAGAAATGAGCTGGAGCTCCATCATGCTGGACCAAATTTCGTCCATATTTTCATTTAAATTTCTAATTTCGGGTATTATGCGTTGTCTAAGGAGATCAAGATATTTTGTGCCGTCAAATTGCCATCTATGAAAAATGGACCGACATGGTTGCCCAAAATTCCCGCCCAAACATTAACTTTTTCCGGGTATTGAGTATGAAGTTCCGACATCCAGTGAGGATTTTCTCTACTCTAGAATCTGCAGTTATGCCGATTCACTTGTCCATTTAAACAGAAGGTGGCTTCATCGCAGAACAAAATTTTTTTGTGGAAATTGGGGTTGGTGGAGGTAAATTATTTTATAGGGTTTGAGTTTTTCGTCGGTCAAGATATTTCTGACCGATTTCTGACCTATTCGCGAATTACGGGCTAATTGTGTGGTACTTGTCTTAGGGTTTTCTTCGAGTTGTAAAAGAACATTAACTTATTCTCATCACTAGTAGCAGTTTTCGGTCTCCCTGATACAGGTTTTCTTTTCACTCCGCCGGTTTCAAGAAATTTTCATACTGTCCTGCAGATGCTAGATTTTTTAAATTGTTTTTCGGGATAGAGCGTATTAAACAAATTGCACACTTCTTGATAATTGCTTATATCCATATCCTCGAAAAATAAGAATTTCAATTCGCTGTTTTTCGTTAAGTACAAAGGCCATAACATTGACATTTCTAATTGTTATGGTTCTGAAGTCTCCATGGCATTACAAGCAAATGAATAACACGTCTTCTTGTTTATTTTGGAAAACAAACAAACGGATGATTTCTAACTAAGATGCAAGTGTAAGGAATGAAACAAAGCGTGATGCCATATCTCCGAAATTGACAAGAGTAA